AGAAATAAGAAAAAAAATATTTCAAAGACATGTGAAGTTCGTCAACACGCATTGGGGCAGCGTGACAGACAATACCTTGTCCTAAAACTCACTCAGAAATGAGCGGGAGGCCTGTGCTCCGGGAGTGGGACATAACTGCCCCGTCTTTGCATGGATGAATTCTGGATTCTACAACATTGCCAGCTGCTGGGTCCAACTATGCCAATAACCTTCACCGGAGTGCAAGCAATATGTTGACAAAGTTTTACTGCAATCTGATGTATGGCATGGCAGCACTTAAAATACTAACAAATAAAAATTTATTTTGATATATTAGTCTAATATTAATGAAACATAAGAGGCGTGCGAGTTCAATGGCTAAGCATTCACTGTTAATTTCACAGTGTGCGAGCAACCCTGTTTTGATCATAATAAAATGCAATTGTAATTTTAAGAGTTTATTAACCACATGCTTGACAGTGAAGGAAAACATTGTGTGGAAACCTGCATGTCTGGAAAGTCAAGATAATTTAAATGAATGTGAAGTCTGTCAATACAAATGGAGGCATCTCAGTGGATACTTCCTTGCCATGAAACACTTATAAATGAGAGAGTCCTTGTGCCCCTGAGTAGTTGAGATCGACAGAAAAGTACCTCTAACAAACTGCTTAATTTTTTTATATATTAAAGATGTTATTGTAAACCACAGAATTTCCCATGTTGTAAACGGTTTAAAAAAGGATCTGCTAAGTTTCTTGCTGGTTCTACCTAGTACAAAGGTTATTTTAACCAATCGGTTAAAATATATTTTTACTAGTTTGATGTTTAGTAACTATTGCTTTTTATAATCTAGGTTAAAAGATTATTTTATATTTTACTCTATTCTATTCCGTTTTATGTAGGTTTTAGTGTCAGGTCTTATCTTTATTTTCGGATGTCCGTTCTAGTATCTGTAGTAATGTTTAGCTCATTATTATATAATACTCATCTATAAATAGAATGATATAACAAAACTCAGCATTTTTTTAAACCTGTAATCATAACTTAAATCCTGACTGCAATAGATGTTAAAGTGGGTCATAAGAGGGTTCAAAATTAATGTCGAATCTATAATAATAAGCGAGAGTTCAAGGGCCCGCAATCTCTTCTTCACTTATGGAGGTTCATTACCCGAGCTTCTAGCTTACAGAAGTACAGGAGGTCTGTTTCCATTTTTTATGAGGTTTGTAAAGGATACAGCAAATATGTAGCAATAAACATGCATATATTGTATGGGTATCTTCTCATGTGGTCGCATATAAATTTGATCAAGGTCTGACCAATAGTTTTTGAGTTATTCTTAAAGTTGGTTCTGAAGTCGATTGTACAAAATTTTAATTTTAAATTATTTATAATCAGTTAAATTATCCATGACATGACAATTGATAATTCGAAAATTTAAATTGCTTAATTATTTACTTATTTATTACTTTGTATTTAAGATGTAATTTTAGTTTGTAGGTGTACGACCAGGTACAACCAAGATTCAGAGCTTTGTCTATTTCCTACGGCCTGATAATGTACATGGTGTATGACAGTTTCTCGGGCTTGTGAGTTATTTCTGCAAGTTTGTGAAGGAGTTTGCTATGATTGCTCAGCTCACTCACAAAGCTTCTTAAGAAAAACTCTAATTGGGAATCGGGAGTCACAGAAAGAAGCCTTCAAAACACTGAAAGCAAGACTATTAGAATAATATTTGGACATAGTATTTTTTTTAAAAATCTGACATCATTTACTTGTAAAAATCAGTTAATTTCCTCTGCATTTCTGTTCTTACATTTTGTGTATGTTTTTCCAGTTCATAATTTGAACAAATATGGTTGGTTGTAGAGCCTCTTCAATGCATTTAAAGCTTTTTGTTGTTTTGGAATTTTCTCTGCTTCTCCATCCAAAATCTGTGATTGGTCGGCTTCGTCTAATATTTATAACAACCATGACCCATAACAATGAGCCATAAAGAGCAAATGTTAAATACATTTAATTGTTGCAAATAGAAGTAAAAGCAAGTAAATATCTCAGTTATAGAGTTCGACGAGTTAAAAACTACTTTTACTTACACAGGCTTCTATGTCTCACTTATAAAGATTTTATGGGGTTAAAATTACACAACCTGACAATTATTCTCACTTACAGAGTTTTCTCGCTTACCCAATTCTCACTTACTCAGGTTTGACTATATTAACAGTAACTAATACTTAAAGAGTCTTATTTGTCAAGATTTCTGCTAACACTCTTTTCATACATTTACATGAATACTAAACAAGAGTGCCAAGTGTCTGCTATGGTTTAACCATAATAAGTTGGTATTATTTTATTATATATTGAAAAACATATAAAATGTATGTACAGTATACACATTTATTTACATAATAAACAAATATCACATTATATAAACAGGAAATTGTAACTCTAAACATTGAAGGATTACCCATTAAGAATGTCTTAATGTCAATTAACGGTGTTAATACTAAATTTTTAAACTCATTATAAACCTCATTCTTATTCTTTAAAGAACTAAATCTGGAAGAATTAACAAACATAACCTGCATATAATTTATAAAATAGGGATAACCCAGTTTCCCATCTTCATTAAGTAGGGAAAACCTCCTCTAACCATTTTGGAAATGACGACTTTGTCAGACTCTTGCCCTGAGAAAACTGCAAGTGACACAACCTCTTTAAGCGAAGTAGATACTTGCTTAAAGACAATCCCAGTGCGGAAAAGCTTGTCGAGATAATTGTTGTCAAAATTTTAAGAAAAGTTACACTGCACCTCTGAAGAGCTGAAAAAAACATAATCATCAAAATCGGTTGACGTGATAAATAATTATTCTCTTATATTTTTTACAGATGCCTTTGCAAATTGAAGAGCTTGATGATTTTCTCATAGATCTAATCATCATATTTTGATCAAATTTATAATCATTGAAATTGGACATTTAAAGAATTATTGCTGACTATACATAAGAAATATTAAGACAAATAGAAAATCTTTTTTTTTTTTTTTTGAAGTCAGTTGATAGAATGAAATTCCTCAATACTATGAAAGATGTCCCTTTAAAAATAATTACAACTTGCTGAAATAGTTGGAGTATCAGATACAACCATTCTGGATGATCATTCTGGCATATCAAAGGTGATTGGTGTACAGGGTGGATGTCGAGACCACAACTGCAGTTTTTTATTTGTTCCTAATTCTTTTCCCTCAGTCGCCTCGACGACGCCCACTACTACAGCCACTGTAGTAGTGACGCACTTTGAGAAAGTAGTTTGTCCAGAATCGTTTACTGAATCGATTTCTATCATTTTTAATATAGGTAATTTTTTATCCCAAATATAATTAAAACTACGTAAATTAAAGTCACACTAAATCTGTACAGTCAAAACAAACTGAAATGGACCGTAACTTAAGGCAATAAGACTTTAAGAGTGCAGTTTTATTTGTAATATTACTAATTCAGTTATTCAATAAAAATAAAGAAAAATGAACTTTATTTCAAGTATGTTAAAGTCTTTGCGTTCGTGGATTTGTACTGTGACCACATCATTCTTCCAGATTTAGTATAACTAATTTGACAAATAATCAGTGCATAAAAATGTTTAACTAAAATTCAGTGTATGTATTATGATTATAACATAATATAATAATTGTGGTGTCTGAGGGTGTGCGTTAATTACGTTACATATTGTACATATATACCTCAATCTCTGAAAACTAGATTGTACAACCAGTGCGTGTTGCCAGTGATGACCTACGGATCTGAGACGTGGTCCTTCACTGCTGCCCATATGAGGACGCTCAAGGTCACTCAGCGAGCTATGGAAAGGGCTATGCTCGGAGTTTCTCTGCGTGATAGACTCAGAAATGAGGATATCCGCAGTAAAAGCAGAGTGACCGACATAGCCCAACGGATTAGTAAGCTGAAGTGGCAATGGGCCGGCCATATAGCTCGAAGAACCGATAACCGATGGAGAAGAAAGGTTCTCGAGTGGCAGCCTTGTGCCGGTAGGCGTAGTGTAGGGCGACCCCCCACTAGATGGAGTGACGACCTGGTAAGATATGCAGGAAGGCGATGGATGCAGGTGGCTCAGGACCGTGCTTTGTGGCATTACTTGGAGGAGGCCTATGTTCAGCAGTGGACTTGTGAAGGGCTGTAATGATGATGGTGAAATGTAATAGTAACGGTAACATTATATAATAATAATGTCCTCCAGACCGAATTTCGACACCGGCGGCCTGCCTCAACGGAGGCTAGCCATCGGCGCAGGACAGAATTATAGCGCCCAAGTGTATGCGCAAGCACAGGTGCACTCTCTATTCCCTCACTTTCATAATCCAATGGGACAGTAAACCGACACAGCCGGAGAGAGATTAGGCGCAGGACCAACGGCTTTAAGTGCTTTCCGAGGCACGGGGGTGAGACGCCGCCAACTTCCTGACTATGGGCAACTACTGAGAATTTCTTGACGGAAAAACTCAATAATTGATTTTTTGGCTCGACCCGAGATTCAAACCCAGGACTTCATGATCAGCAGTCACACTATTACAACCACTAGACCAACGAGGCAGTCAACGCTATATAAATAGATTACAAATACCTTAAAGTAAAGTTACAGCCTACGAGTATATATACGTCGCACTGCTGGGCACAGGCCTCCCCTCATTTCTGAGAGGGTATTAGGGCCGCCGCGCTGCCCCAATGCGTGTTAGCGAACTTCACATGTCAGCGAATTTTTTTTGCCGTGGGTAGCTCAGATGGTTAACACTCGCTCTAAATATAACAGAACGCGAGTAATCAGGGTTCGAACCCCGCCGCAACAATGAAATTGTTAATTGCAATTTTAAGTGCTGATTTACCACGTGCTCGGCGCTGAAGGAAAACATCGTGAGGAAACCTGCATGTTTGAGGAAAAGGAAAAGAAATACCAATACTTTGCTTACCAACAATTCAAGTTAATGTATATTTGTTTTCAGAATCACCATGTCCCTCTGGGCTAGAGCTCAGCAGCTCCCCCAAGAAAGTCTGCAGCAGGTATGTACACATAAATATCTCTTTAAAATTAGATCATAAACAGAAATATAGACTTCTGGAGATGAACTTATCTCATTTTAGGATTTACCTTTATCGCCAAGCTTGGCAAGAGGATTAGCCTACTGGGGCTCTTATATTCAATGCTATTTACCATCACAGGTCTGGGGGTTTAAAGTCCATTTATTTGTGAGATGGATTTTGATACATGGTAGTGCCACGCTGCAGCTATATTATGTTTGTAGCTCGAATGCAGCTCAACCGGGGAAGAGTCACACTCCCAAGAATACCAGCGTAAAATAGCAGCTTTATACTGCTGTGTATTGTATGGTGAGTGTAGAGAACCGGAAACCCTTTTTTACTGGAAAAGAGGCATTCCATCTTAGTCCTCGGGGGTGACATCGCATATGCGTTTTGATTCTTAATCAAGAATAAATGTAGATATAAATGTAGTCTATGGGTCACAGTATCCACTTACCATCAGTTGGACTGTGTACTTGTTTGTCACCTTTATTCTATTAAAAAAAATACTATTTCTTCTGGTTCTTCAGGAGTTTTACTATGTGATAGGACTCTTTTTTTGCCTAGGAGTCTTCTGTCTGCGTAGATATCAGCTTCTTAGTTATATCTGCTGCCAGTATACAGCCAGTGTAAAAACAGGCTGTGAATCATTCTTTCTTAGTCCTCAAAGATGACAATGAGTCTGTTTTATTTAAAGTAGGCTGCAGGTGCTCTGGACTGCAATGACCATTTACCATCAGGTGGATTACCAACAATTCTTTGATACTTCAGTTGTGTAAATATATACCATACTGCGAACCACCGTAAAGTGAAACAAGTCATATACCCAGGAGGCGTGTGCCCAGATTTCTGCTGGGCATATGCCTCCCCTCTTTTCTTAGAGTGTGTTATTAGCGGTTAGTCCACCGCGCTGCTTCAGTGCGAGTTTACAGACTTACATGTCATCAAAATATTTTTAACTCTCAGATGCAGGTTTGCTTCAGATTTTTTCTTTTAACGCTGAATACAGTAGTAAATCCGCACTAATTGTAACTTACAATTTCATTGGTACTGGTAAGGATAAATTGAAGTTTCCGGCGAACGTTTAGCCCCTGAGTTTAGTTTTTGAATTTCTAAAATCATGAATGTCAATAGAAAACTATAAATATTAATGCAATCAACATTGTCATGTGACTTAAAGTCGAATTTGTATGAGTTGCTCATAGTTCGGTTCCACTGTAAATATTTTGTACAGAACTGGTCCTAAAACTGATCCCTGGTGCATCTCCCTTTATTTCATGGATTTTTAAAGCATATTATATAACATATAAAAGAAATTATTGTTTCGAATAAAACTAATTTTACCGATTTTATCGCGTTTAGTTTAAACTTTTTAATTCCCGACGTTTCGGGTACTTTACAGCACCATGGTCACGGGTTGGACTAAGGTGTAGACGTCCTGATGTCAAAGTTTCATATTTTATGAATCTCGTAATTGCCTGAGGCAATAAACTTTTGACTTCGGCAAAAATTCCCCAAGACCTTATCAAATGCTTTTGAGCTTTCCTAACACAATATTTCACTGTGCCAATATGTGCAATGAGTTGTAGCACTGAGGGCTGCGGATTCGAATCCCACACGGAACAAGTATTTGTATGGTCTACAAAAACTTGTTCCGGGTCTGGATGTTTGTTCTTGTGAAATTTATGTATCTAAATTTCCCCTTTGATACAAGACCAAATACTAGTGTGGAGTAATTAAAAAAAAATATTAATTTTTTCAATAGGTAAGGGCCATCTATGGAGATCACTTCCCGATTGAGGTCCGCCACTGCCTGGCGACATGGATCGAAAGCAGGATATGGTAAGTGGTTGAATAAAATTAATTTACATTTAGGCCTTTTTAGCCTAAGAGTCCATCTGGACAGTCAAGTTAATCTTTAGTCTCATTTATATCGTGCATTTTTACCTTCATCATAGAACCCATCCGGTGCAGGTGTAAATAGCTGCTGTAGCTACTTACAAAAAATTAGACTACTACCTCGTTACTCACTATAAATGTATAAGAAATAATTGTTAACCCTGTAGAAAATTTGCCAGACGAAAAGAGGAGACAAAAAGGACTGTTTATCAACCGACTTAAAAAAGGGAGAGGTTCTTGATTCGACTGTATTTTTTTTTGAAGTGAAAGCTTCTTTAGGCATTTTGAGCACTTTTGGGATGGGGAAAAAGCACTGAACTCGCGTGACCGTCATGTTTAGATACATAAAATTGATGAAAGTAATGTCAAAAATCAAATCGATTTATAAAATTCATATGTATTTATAAATATCTTTGTATTATGTAGATAATGATCATTCTTTTTCATGTTAAACAGTGGAAATTAAAATTTTATTACATATTAATTTTTTGATGAAAATAATTTTTAGTAAAGAATACTTTCTAAAAGATATTTCTTTGTTTAGAAAAATTATGTTCACAAGTTTGTAAAGCTAAGAAGTTCTCACATCTGACATGCAGTCGTAAGACTGGCCCATATAAATGTAATCAAGATCAAACTAGTAGTTTTACAGTTATCCTTAATAATGCGTATTTAATTGAATTTGTAATACGGATTAGTAAGCTGAAGAGGCAATGGGCCGGCCATATAGCTCGAAGAACCGATAACCGATGGGGAAGAAAGGTTCTCGAGTGGCAGCCTCGTACTGGTAGGCGTAGTGTAGGGCGACCCCCCACTAGATGGAGTGCCGACCTGGTAAGACATCCAGGAAGTCGATGGATGCAGGTGGCTCAGGACCGTGCTTTGTGGCGTTACTTGGGGGAGGCCTATGTTCAGCAGTGGACTTGTGAAAGGCTGTAATGATGATGATGATGAATTGAATTTGACTACATTGATGATGTTCTCATATAGTTTGAGGTGGTGCGTGTACTGGAGACGCATTTTACCGGAAATGAGAAATTCCATTTAAATCCTCAGGGGTCACAACGCATTCTGAAATTTGATTCTTAATAGAGGATAAGATGTCTATGGATCACAGCATCGAGCTACCATCAGGTGGACTGTGTTTGCCTGTCACTCTTATTCTATTAAAAAAAAACTTTATACCATAGTCTTGGTGACATTTTACTTTAAGCTCATTTGTAACTAATAAGAAATGTTCATAGAAACATAGAAATGTTCTCGAGAACTAGTATAACAGAAATGAGAGAAAGTCTAGGCCAAGCAGTGAGTCGTATAAAAGCTGTAACTTTTACTTTAACTTTAAGTAGATGGTAGCACCCAGCAATATTCCCTATTGAAATTACGTTTTCTTTTATTTAAATAGTCTCGCGAATCATTCTTGGTAGAAATCGGTGTACTTTAGCGAGGATTTGTGATCTATTTAATATGATGTAGAAACGGGGGTGACCCTGTACTGTACTGTAGACAAAGTACTTGTTATTACAATACAATGGTTCATAACAATGCTAGGGATTCGATAGGTAGCGCTGTTATTAAATTATTAACAAATTCTATTCCATTGGCAATTGATTATTTTAGTCTAGTAAGGGCCACATGCCCTTGACATGCTCGTACTGGCATAGGAATTGTAGGGCGGTTTTAACTAATGGAATGATGATCTGGTAAGTCATGGAGGTGACTCAAACAATATTTTGTGGCTTTATTTGGGGGAGACCTGTGTTCAACAGTGGACTCGTAAAGGGTTGTTAACTGTTTTGTTGATGATGTTAATCTAGAAGTGGGGTTGTCCATTACTGTTCTCTCTTGATGATACTAACGGTTATGGATTCTTCTAGAATTGAGAAGAGACCATGTTGTTTACATGCTGTTGATTTTAATTTTTTTATATTGTTTGTAAGGACTTCGGAACCGGAGGAGCAGCAGAGGTTTTTCGTGGACGAACTGGTACAAGAGATCCAGACCAACGCGGACCTCATGCTCTCCCCGGAGATGTTCGTCACCAAGATGAAGCTGATAGAAGCCGCAAAAAATTTCCATGTGCAGTACAGGTTGGTTTTTATACAGTAATGCCCCGGACTTACGCGATAGGTGGAACCAAGCGATAGTCGTGTAAGTCGAATTCGCGTAAGTCGGGGTTCAATTTTTGCATATAAATACGTAGTACCGGGATGACCTAGCTTTGCTCGGTTTTTTTAAGTTACATTTATATACAAATTACATGAATAATAGTTTTTGATCTTATTGACATAATAGAAAAAAACTGAACTGGTTAATAGAATAAAAAATCATGAGTGCAATTAATTTAATTAAAATTTTCGTATTTTTAAAAATATAATAAAAAAGGGCTCGAAATAATAGATTTTCTTACAAAAGAAGGGAACTTGAAAAAAAAAGGAAAAAAGTCGGACCCAAGACGGGACGCGAAGCACGGAACTCCGATATCACGCCCAAACAACATCCCATCTGAGCTATTACGATCGTTGGTAACCTGTCAAAATTTACCTCCTTATATTGTAGCAGTTATATATATATACAAGATTGGTCGTTTAAAAGTATAGGATAAGTTTGTGAAACCGGGACCAGAGTCTAAAGAAAACAATAATGTAGAAGAATCATGTTAAATAAAATGTTAAATAATAAAACAATTTACATTACTATGAATAAAACAACACAAACCGAACCTATTTTGATCTCGAAGGCTTCATAAATTCTAACAATGTCGCCTGACGAGTTAAGTTTTTCTACTTCTCGCGTTCAAAAACTGAGAGCCTCTTTCAGCTTCCGTAATTTTTTCTTTAATTTTTAAAACCGTTCGGACTGTTGATTCCGGTAGGTCAATTTTTTTTGCCTATTCACAAACATTTATTTTCGATTCCAAGTCTTTGAAAATATACCTAGTTTACACTCCAAAGACAGTGTTTTTCGTGTTTTCTTGTTAGGTTCAAATGACTCATTTTTTCATCTTTTGGATGACATAATTAAAGATAAATCAATTATGTGCACTACATCATACGTACAATAATTCCACAAGGAACACGTCCGAGCTTGTCGTAAACCAAATGTGTATTGCGCTCGGTACGTAAAACTTTTCCGCGCGTAACACGTTCGAACTTGTCGTAAACCGAACACTGACGGAGCGAAGTGGGCAAATGAAAAAATCGCGTAGTTCGCGTAAAACGGGGTAGCGTAAGTCGAGGTATGACTGTATTTTATAATTTGATTTTATAGTTTAAAACACACACGCATAAACATCACAACACACTTACAAAAACACGAATGCACAAAGAACGTGTGCGTTCTCAAGACATGAAATTTTTGAGCGAAATGTGATAATGTTTGGCTGTGGAAAGAAAAAGGGGAGATCTTCCGCCGGGAAAGGTGAGCAGCCCGGGGAGCGACCGACACTCCGTGTGTTTGTACAGAGCTATTCTATATATAACGTACTTCGTAACTTTGATAGCGTGATTTAGGCTTCGTGCGTTTTGCTTGTAGCGCGACGACAGCGCCGCCAAAAATAGATACTTTGTCGTATCCTGGGGGCAGTTTACATAGTCAAATTTCAACCAAATAGAATTAAACCCGCGGACCTTGGCGCTGTAACTCATTGCTAAGCCACTGCGCCACGGAGCCGTTATAACCGTCAAAACTCATAAGAGAGAACTTGCATTAATTTTTTTGCCACAAATTTATACTAGCTTGCCAGGCAGACATTGTTCTGCCCGTTTCGACGACCCTTTGTCATTGCCTAGTAAAAATCCTTAAATTCGCAAAAAAAAATGTGTGTCACTCATGGGCAAAAAACTATTCTATCTCTCAAGTTGAGCTGTACACGGTATGCAAATTTGATTAAAATCGGTTAGGTAGTTTAGGAGTCCATCGCGGACAAACAACGTGACACGTAATTTATATATATTAAGATTGAAAGAATAATTCATTAAAAGTACATTTGGATATCTTTTTTATTTTTTTTTTAATAATTTTTAGTAAACAAAAAACATTCAGAAAAATAAATTTCAAAAAACATGCAACTTTTCTATTGTCTAAATTCGTTTCGTCTTTATTCGTTCATCGACCCGGGTCGCATCAAAGTATTGATGATAGCAATTGCATTTTTTAACCTTCGATCAAACGATTAACAGGACCTACGACTAAAGAGTATAGTAATGTCCACCCGACATTATCAAACGGGTTTCGCAGATCACAGAATACTGAAACGCGAAATAATACATTTGAATTATAGATTCAAATGACCCGGTTCGTAAGACAAATCAATACTTGAATGATCGAGTCACTAGAAATTATTTTTTTATACACTAGCAATGCTATTAACAACATTAATATTCAATATTAATATTGTTAATAGCATTGATAGTTAATATGTAACCAATCCTGTTAAGCTTGTAATGCTTGTTGTTAGGAGTGGTTCAGTGGTCGAAATGGCGGATTCGAATCTAGGACCTTTGGATTTCGCGGTCCGCACCCCGCCTTTAAGCCACTGTCGCTTAAAAAATGAGTAAATGACACATATCTGGTCGAAATTCTGCAATTAAGGGGAAATATAATCTCAAATGGCTTAGCAAGATCCTTCGTTATGCCGAAAATATTGCAGCATTAATTTTGAAATAAATATATGGTAAAGTTGAGGATTAATGTTAAGGATTATGTTAGACGAAAACACGATTTCGTAAAATTTTCTTGATAGAAAAAAAATCCAAAGTTACCTCCAAAATAAACAATAAACCGCTGTTATTCATAAAATACTTTAAATAAGATCTTGAAACTTTGCATACTAACTGAACTAACTATAAAGCAGTGCTTATGTTATTTACTTTTTTTTTTAAATACCATTATTTTCACAGTAAAAAGAAATTACCTAAACTATCGGCCTCTTGAAGCGTGATTCCTGCCGCCCGGTCACTTCGCTTCGGCCTTTGAACGGGGAGGTTGTGTCGCTTACGATCAGAATACACATTACGCAACAGGACGACGTAAAATTAAAATGGGAAATAACCGTAATAAAAATAAGAAGCGACTGGGTTGGCGTTAAGAAACAGGCATAAATATGATAAACCTAATGAAATAAGTATCTAACGACCTTTCTACTTACAGTATTAGTGATTACAAACATGTCGGTACATAGCATACGACGCGCGGGCAAGTGGGGACGAAATTAGTATTTGAGCTGACTTACTATACCCCCTTAACTTGGTTAAAGTGTTATATTCAGTGTTCATTATATTTTATCTGCTTTCTATGGCAAATGATGCAAACTATATGTTTAGTTGTGGACTTTTAGTAGGCCTTTTTTTAGGTGAGCTGTATGGTCATTTGTCACACTTATTCTTTAAAAACTAATTTTGCTATACATGTATTAATATAATTTTTTTTCGACCAGCCACGAGCCGCACAAGCTATACGCATACCTCCGGCGTTGCTTGGCGCTTGAAATGGAAGTTATACAGAATGCGATGGGAACACCCTACGTTGCTCAACCACATACTGAGAGAAAGTACAGTGAGGTAAGTGCTTGTTCATACATGTAAGGGTGAGGACACTATGACATACGGAACTAAGACATGATCCTTTACTGCTGGCCATATAAAAAAGCTCAAGTGGATTGTACTCAAAGTTCTCTGAATGATAGACTTCGTAATGAGGATATATGGATCTAAGACATGGTCCTTTACTGCTGACCGTATAAAAAACCACAAGTGGGCTGTGCTCAATGTTTTCTGCTGATAGACTTTGTAATGAGGATATACAGATCTAACACATGATCCTTTACCGCTGGCTGTATAAAAAGCAAAAGGGGATTGTGGTCAAAGTTTTTTGCATGATAGACTTCGTAATGCGGATATATGGATCTAAGACATGGCCCTTTACTGCTGACCGTATAAAAAACCACAAGTGGACTGTGCTCAATGTTTTCTGCATGATAGACTTTGTAATGAGGATATACAGATCTAACACGTGATCCTTTACCGCTGGCTGTATAAAAAGCAAAAGGGGATTGTGGTCAAAGTTTTTTGCATGATAGACTTCGTAATGCGGATATATGGATCTAAGACATGGTCCTTTACTGCTGACCGTATAAAAAACCACAAGTGGGCTGTGCTCAATGTTTTCTGCGTGATAGACTTTGTAATGAGGATATACAGATCTAACACGTGATCCTTCACCGCTGGCTGTATAAAAAGCAAAAGGGGATTGTGGTCAAAGTTTTTTGCATGATAGACTTCGTAATGCGGATATATGGATCTAAGACATGGTCCTTTACTGCTGACCGTATAAAAAACCACAAGTGGGCTGTGCTCAAAGTTTTCTGCATTATAGACTTTGTAATGAGGATATACGGATCTAACACGTGATCCTTCACCGCTGGCTGTATAAAAAGCAAAAGGGGATTGTGGTCAAAGTTTTTTGCATGATAGACTTCGTAATGCGGATATATGGATCTAAGACATGGTCCTTTACTGCTGACCGTATAAAAAACCACAAGTGGGCTGTGCTCAAAGTTTTCTGCATGATAGACTTTGTAATGAGGATATACGGATCTAACACGTGATCCTTCACCGCTGGCGGTATAAAAAGCAAAAAGGGGATTGTGGTCAAAGTTTTTTGCATGATAGACTTCGTAATGCGGATATATGGATTTAAGACATGGTCCTTTACTGCTGACCGTATAAAAAACCACAAGTGGGCTGTGCTCAAAGTTTTCTGCATGATAGACTTTGTAATGAGGATATACGGATCTAACAGGTGATCCTTCACCGCTGGCGGTATAAAAAGCAAAAAGGGGATTGTGGTCAAAGTTTTTTGCATGATAGACTTCGTAATGAGGATATATGGATCTAAGACATGGTCCTTTACTGCTGACCGTATAAAAAAACACAAGTGGGCTGTGCTCAATGTTTTCTGCATGATAGACTTTGTAATGAGGATATACAGATCTAACAGAGCTGAAGGTAGGGAAATTTGGAGTAGGGCAACGGAACCGAAGGGGCCAGCAGCTGGCCGACTTTATGGAGAAAGAGGGACTCTTTATGATGAACTCTTTCTTCCAGAAGCGGCCCCACAGGAAGTGGACCTGGTCGAGCCCCGACGGTTCGACAAAAAATGAGATTGACTTCATTATGACGACCAGACGCCAACTGTTCAGTGATGTCTCAGTGATCGCAAGGGTGAAAACTGGCAGCGATCACCGAATGGTTAGAGGCACACTGAACCTAAACGTTAAGTTGGAGAGGTCTCGTCTAATGAAGTCAACGCTCCGTCCCCCTCGTGCTCTAATCCAGAATCCCGAAACCTTTCAGCTCGAGTTACGTAACCGCTTCCAGTGCCTAGAAGATTGCAATGCAGTGGACGATATGAACGACAAGCTCGTGGAAACTGTCCATGCGGTCGGAGCTAAGTTCTGCAAGACCCGCCGCAGAAGAACACAAAAACTCTCCGATCACACTCTTAATCTCATGGCTGTTAGACGGGAGATGAGGCTGCAATCGTCAACAGATTTGACAGCATACAGGCAACTGAACAGACAGATCTCCAAATGCATGCGGCGAGACTTACGCAACTTTAATACTTCTCGTATTAAAGAAGCGATCGAGCGGAACCAGGGCTCCAAAGTCTTTGCCAGAGATCTGTCTGCCAGAAAGAGCCAACTGTCAAAGCTGAAGACTGAGTGTGGCAACATCGTTTCCGGGACACCTGAGATTTTGAGTGAGATTGAGAATTTCTATGGGCAGCTGTACACATCATCGTTGGAGCCACACGTAAGTGTGAGTAACGATCCAAGAGCAAGTCTTATCCGACACTATTCCGATGATATCCCGGACGTCAGTCTGAGCGAGATTAGAATGGCTCTCCACCACCTTAAAAACGGCAAGGCCCCGGGCGAGGATGGAATTACAGCGGAGCTTCTGAAAGCGGGTGGAAAACCGGTACTTGAAGTCCTTCGGAAGCTCTTCAATTCCGTCCTCCATGGTGGCACTACTCCGGAGGCGTGGAGCAGAAGCGCGGTGGTTTTGTTCTTTAAGAAAGGCGACAACGCTCTCTTGAAGAACTACAGACCGATTTCCCTTCTGAGCCGCGTCTACATGCTATTTTCGAGAGTCATTACGAATCGTCTCGCACGCAGACTCGACGACTTCCAGCCTCCCGAACAAGCCGGTTTCCGAAAAGGCTTCAGTACCATAGACCACATACATACCCTGCGGCAGATTGTACAGAAGACCGAAGAGTACAATCTGCCACTTTGCCTGGCATATGTGGACTATGAGAAAGCCTTTGATTCCGTCGAAATTTGGGCGGTGCTACAGTCCCTTCAGCGGTGCCAAGTTGACTGTCGGTACATCGAAGTGCTGAAGTGTTTGTACAGTAGGGCTACGATGGCTATCCGAGTACAGAACCAGAGTTCGAAACCTATCCAACTGCAGAGAGGTGTAAGACAGGGTGATGTTATATCCCCGAAACTCTTCACCGCTGCGTTGGAAGACGTTTTCAAGCTACTGGACTGGAAAGGATACGGTATTAACATCAATGGCGAGTACATCACTCACCTTCGATTTGCCGACGATATAGTCATTATGGCAGAATCGCTGGAGGACTTAAGCATTATGCTCAATGACCTCAATAGTGCCTCCCAACGGATAGGTCTTAAGATGAACATGGACAAAACAAAGATCATGTTTAATGTCCATGTCACACCTATGCCGGTAGTTGTTGGGAGCACTATGCTCGAAGTTGTTGACGAGTACGTTTACCTGGGACAAATAGTCCGACTAGGTAAGTCCAACTTCGACCGAGAGGTCAATCGACGGATTCAACTCGGCTGGGCAGCGTTCGGGAAATTACGACATATCTTTTCGTCAGGTATACCTCAATCTCTAAAAACTAGATTGTACAACCAGTGCGTGTTGCCAGTGATGACTTACGGATCTGAGACGTGGTCCTTCACTGCTGGCCGAATGAGGACGCTTAAGGTCGCTCAGCGAGCTATGGAGAGGGCTATGCTTGGAGTTTCTCTGCGTGATAGACTCAGAAATGAGGATATCCGCAGTAAAACCAGAGTGATCGACATAGCCCAACGGATTAGTAAGCTGAAGTGGCAATGGGCCGGCCATATAGCTCGAAGAACCGATAACCGATGGGGAAGAAAGGTTCTCGAGTGGCAGCCTCGTACCGGTAGGCGTAGTGTAGGGCGACCCCCCACTAGATGGAGTGGCGACCTGGTAAGACATGCAGGAAGTCGATGGATGCAGGTGGCTCAGGACCGTGCTTTGTGGCATTACTTGGGGGAGGCCTATGTTCAGCAGTGGACTCGTGAAGGGCTGTAATGATGATGAGATCTAACACGTGATCCTTCACCGCTGGCTGTATAAAAAGCAAAAGGGGATTATGGTCAAAGTTCTTTGCATGATAGACTTCGTAATGTGGATATATGGATCTAATACATGGTCATTTTCTGCTGGCCGTATAAACAGAACTGTGTTCAATCCTTCCCCTATGAAGCAATCAATGGAGGACCTGTGTTCAGGAGCTTTTAATAGGTTGTAAGGGGGCGTCCATTAATTACGTGAAGTGTTTCAGGAGGAAGGGGCTTTTGCTTCAACGTGAATCTCAACCTATCTCGCATCACGAGCGAGAGGGAGGGTGTCGGCATATATCATGTTATTTTCTTCTAGCAAGAACCAGTGTAAAATTTCGAGAAAATCAGGTTAAATTAAGTAAAATAAAGTTAAATCCTACACAAAAATATTTATCGCCACTAAGCGAACTCCACAAATTATTTATAGCAAATCATGCTGTTTTTTACAAGCACAGTTTAACATAACATATTTACACTAAAAGTAGACATTTTGAAAAATCTCACATGAGATTTGGATAGGGGGTGATGAGGGGAGAGGGCCGCGTAGCCACTAAAATGATTTACACGTCAATTCACACGTATAAATGTCAACACGAGAAATGGGTTTGACGTACAATCGTTTCCAAATTTCGCATGCAAATTATTTAAAAAATGCCAAATTGAACCCTATTTACAAATAAATATGTATTAAAATTTAAACGATTTTTTAATGATGATCTTGAACATTAATCAAATATCTAAAATGTGCAAATTTATTCAGTCTGTCAACACAGCGAATCGGGTTTGGCGACGCTGATCCTCGTACAAAATAAAGTTGACAGCCATTCTATTGTGTATAGTATTCTATGATATCTCACGACATTTCACCCCAGGGGGAGGGGGAAGATAGAAAAATCGCCAAAATCGCCTTATGTTATTAATGGACCCTCCTAATGGCTAATGATTAATGGTTGTGTCTTTTTGATTAGTCCACATAAGTTCACAACTGGACTGGTTCCCACTACTGGACTGATACCGCCATCTGTCGGAAGCCGTGTGAACTCTGATAGTTGTGTAAATTATTGATTAATCTGTGTATTCTCTATTCCAGCTCATAACCGGTCTGCAGAATGTGCGTCAGAAGGTGAACATGGCAAGCGAGGAGATCCGTAGTCTCCAAGCCAACATCGAGTCTTTCTCTTTGCAGTATCACGAGTGCTTGAAAAATAAAGGTACACTAATGGTTTTTTTATTACATGAACACTACACATTGATTGGAACTAGTTTTTTTGCGGATGTTACCTCAATTAAGATGAGGATTTTCGAAGTATGAAGGCTTTTAGGGCTCTCTTTTCCGTTACATGCATGTTTGTTCAGCACGAAGTAAGCATATAATACTGTTACGAGCTTGAGGTTCGTGACAATAAAAATTGCCGATAAAATTACCTAAATTAACACTTTAATTTACTTTACACAAATTAAAACTTAAAACACTAATAATTAAACACACTAATTCACTTTATTCCGCTCCGAAGCTTAGCTTGTCTCGCCAAATCAACACTGCCCCGATCGCATCTTGCAGCGCCTATATATACAAATTAGCAATGAAGCATCCGGAATATTCAAGTAAATGCGCGCAAAGCGACGAGTGTTCGAGTGTAGATTTTCTAGAAACTTAGTTCTTCGGATGGCGCTATCGGTTGAAAGATTTGTGATGTCATTTTCTGCAAAGCTCCCCTCGCTCTCGTTCCTGACACTAGATGGCGCTAGTGTATTGTCGACATGAGCGCGTAACACTGCCCCCTCCTAAGACATGCTCGTCCCGAGCATTATCGGCCCCATAATAACGCGCCAAGCGATCCACATGGACGATCTTAGGAGTCCCCTTTGCGCCTTTCTGTAACGGCTCCGCAATGTCAAGGGATGTCCTATCCCGTGGTGCACCAACATTGTACAATTTCGATGCTCCTCTACTCCGTGTCTGAGGTCCCCTCACAGCCGCACAACTTGTACATGTACGACACCAATCCTCGACATCGTCACGATAATGGACCCAGTAAAACTGTTCTCGGACCTTCAGTAGAGTTCGTTTAACTCCCAGATGGACTCTTGAACGACCATTATGGCACAGCTGTAGAACATTCGGCACTTTAGCTTTAGGGACAACCATTTGCAGACGACAGCTGTCTCCTCGACCATTGTCCCATTTACGGCACAGGACTCCATCCTGAAGCAGCAAGCTGTCCCATTGGGCCCAATAGCTTTTCGTGGTTGAACTCATCGCTGAGACGTCCCTCCACTTAGGCTTGGTAGCACGGGCCTTCATCCATCCCAGAATCGGCTTGATGTCCGGATCTTCCTGCTGTGCATGTCGTAGGCTGTCCTTCCACCCGTTGCTGAGGTGGTCTGTCCTGAGCATCCTCACGGATACCACTTCCTTACTCTCTTGCCTACTACAATGGTTGCAATCTTCAGGACAAGGTCTTCTTGACAATGCATCTGCGGTGCCGTGAGATTTCCCGCTGCAGTGTCTGATAGTAAAGTCGTATTCCTGCTGCTGCTGGGCGGTGCTGTTAGCCGCACTTCCTTTCTGAGACCGTTCACCTTCCCTTCCTAGGGTGTGCTTAGGGCAGCTGGACCGAAGATGGCCCCTTTCCCCACAGCCATAGCACCTAGGGCTGTATCCTTTATTGTGGTCGCGAACCGTAACTGCTGCAACCTTCCTAGCGTGAGGTGAACGATGATACTGCCACACGGCTTCTACTTCCAGTGCATGGGCCAAGGCGTCCTTAAGCGTCTCGTGGTGCCCGAGCCTCACAGCAGCTCTGACTTCCAGGTCGCGGATGCCGTCGATGAATGTCTGCACCAGGTTCCCTTCAATGAGCGCAGGTACAGACCGGTATGCTTTTTGCACCAGCTTCTCCACTTCTAGAGCCCACTGCTGAAGGTTTTCGTTGATGCGCTGCACACGATCTTTAAGCTGCGCACGAAAGACGTGTTCCAGGTGAGCGTCGCCATATCTCGCCTCCAATGCCTCAAGGAGTTGCTCATAAGTCACTTCCTCACCGAGAGCTTCCAGAACTGTTAAGGCCTGGTCACGCAGGCCTAGTGTGAGAGCAGTCATGGCCTGATTTTTATTCCAGCCGTTCGCCTTCATAACAGCTTCGAACTGGATTTTGTAGGCTGACCAGGAAGAAGTACCGTCGAACGGTGGCATCTTGAACCCACGTAGCGAAGGTGTTGTAGCTACTACGGGAGCTATAGCTCCATCTCCAAGTTTGAGTTCGTCCAGTGATTTCTTCATGTCAGCCATTACGTTGTCAACCCGATTGTTTACTTGGTTGATTCGGGTTTCAGCTTTCTCGATTCGGTTTTCAGCTTCCGACAGGCGGTTGTCATGCTGAGCAACCCTATCCTTCACCTCCTTTATCTCCTTCCCGAAGGTAGCGTGAAGGTCCTTCATGAGGAGCATCTGCTCTTCCAACCGACGGGCCTGTTCCTCATGTCCGCCCCGCAGCTGCTCCTCCAAACGACGAACCTGGTCTTCCTGTCGGCGAGCCTGCTCCTGCAGCATCACCATCAGAGCACCTAAGTCAGGTGCTGCAGATGTAGGAGCTACCGACGGGCCTGCATCCGGTGGCTGGCACTCCGACGTCTGCGACGTTGCACCACCAAATCTTCGTTGGTCCGTCTCCTGCTGGCGTTGACTTCGGGTACGGAAACCCTCCGTTTCCTCCTTAGGTAAAATCGGCATGATTTTATCCCACTTCTGACACCAATTGTTACGAGCTTGAGGTTCGTGACAATAAAAATTGCCGATAAAATTACCTAAATTAACACTTTAATTTACTTTACACAAATTAAAACTTAAAACACTAATAATTAAACACACTAATTCACTTTATTCCGCTCCGAAGCTTCGCATGTATCGCCAAATCAACACTGCCCCGATCGCATCTTGCAGCGCCTATATATACAAATTAGCAATGAAGCATCCGGAAAATCCGGAGTGTTCGAGTGTAGATTTTCTAGAAACTTAGACGTCGGATGGCGCTGTCGGTTGAAAGATTTGTGATGTCATTTTCTGCAAAGCTCCCCTCGTTCTCGTTCCTGACACTAGATGGCGCTAGTGTATCGTCGACTTGAGCGCGTAACAATACCAGGTTTTTTTTTATAGAATAAAGCGACTGGGGAGGGACCACTCTCTCACAGAATACCAGAGTAAAATAGTACCTAGCTTAATGCTACTGTGTTTCGTATGGTGAGTGTAGAGAAACGGGGACCCTTTTTATTTTTACTGGAAACAAGGCATTCCATCTTAGTCCTCACGGCTGACAACGCATCTGCATTTTGATTCGTAATCGGGGATAGATGTAGATGTCTATGGGTCACAGCAACTGCTTACCATCAGGTGGATGGACTGTGTGCACTTGTTTGTCACCCTATCCTATAATAAAATTTAAAAGAAACTAGTTTTTCATGGATTTTACTGTGTTTAATAAACATTTTTATTCATGGCGATTTTAAGTACTTCTTAGCACCAAAGATTATGGGGACCTGAGGATTTTTATTCGATACCATTGATTACAACAATAAAAATCTCAATTGCTACAGCTTTGTTTCTAGGACATAATGCACAATCACATATAGGTAATTATGAGAGATGAAACGAATATCCGGTAACTATCCGGTATTCGTCCTATCCGGCCTAAAACTACTATCCGGCCGGATACCGGATAACAAACAGCTATCCAACCCGATACCGGATTTAAAAACAAACGCAAAATATCGAATGTAGTTAAGTACTTCATTTATGTTACTTAACAAATATAATCAGTAATCACAACATTTCCATTTTAAAACTTACAAAATTAGTACTCGTACTATGTAGTACGTAAGGCACAGAATAAATAATACTACTAATTTGCTAAGGGCAAATTATGGTGGATAGATATTAATTTTTCTGCTTTGGACGGTAACAAGCGGTTTCGTCTGTCTTCATAAACAAGGCCAGCTTCAGAAAAAAGTCTGTCGCTGTACACACTGCTGCAGGCTGCTGAAAGATGGGCTTTGACAAACTTTGATAAATTTGGGCATTTTGTAGCAATACCCGCCCACCAAATCTAAGGGCCAAGATCGCGAACAGTTTGCACTGACTTTACTCTTCTTGCGATGCACCAAACGGCAATGTTCGGCAGAATATCCGGCGGCCGGATATCCGGCTATCCGGCGATAAGACTGGCCGAATATCCGGTATCCGGCCAAACAGCTATCCGTTTCGTCTCTAGTAATTATCACTTACACAATGAAACATTAACTAAGGCCACAAACTAAAAGCTATAGCTGTAACATTTTTTTCTTAAATTTAGTGGTTGTCATGCAATTACGTTTCAGCATTTGTTGTAAAGATGGCACGTTATTTTAATTTTTTTTATAGGATAAAGGTGACTAACAATCACACAGCCGACCTGATGGTAAGTGGATGCTATGGCCCGCAGACACCTACATCTGTCCTCGATTACGAATCAAAATTCAGATGCGTTGTCATCCGTGAGGACTAAGATGGAATGCCTCCTTTCCGGTAAAAAGCGTTCTATACACTCACCATATGAAACAAAGCAGTGTTAAACTGCTATTTTACGCTGGTATTCTGTGAAGGCGTGGTTCTTCCCCGGTCAAACTAACCCAATCGTGCTACAACTACACTACTAATATATCTGCAGCATGGCTCTACTACGTAAAACACATTCTAGAGATTGAGGAATTTGATCCTAGTAGGGTGCTACGGAATGGGTATACTGAAGGATTGATTAGAGCCCGAGAATTTGAATGTCCTAATGTTACCACAACAACGTCTGCTGAGCCACGTAGTCAATTCTAACTATGTTTGCTTGTTTTCAGGCCATATAAACTATTTGCAGCAGTCCGGGCCCATCACCGCTGAACGCAGAGAGCTGGAGGCCTGTCTACGAGTGCAAATTGAAGAGATGGAAAGGAAACTTAACGCTCTGGTAACTTATGCTATGCCTTGTAATGTCTTTCATTTACCATGTAGTGTTAAGCTGAACGGAATTTCTTCAGGGACAATAGAGTTCTTTTTTTCTTGTGTCGACTTGCTTCTCATTATTTGATTTTTGTAGAGATAATATTTGTTTGGCAATATTTTGCATTAAGTTTTGTTTTATTTTATCAATAAACTGTGAAAACATATCATATGTTAAGTCACTGTTTGAATCAATCAAGTAGAGCCATATTAGCGTTTATTGAATGTCTCTACTGTGTAGTTATATATTCTTAATTACGTTTATTTGTATTCCACAGGTGGCCCAAATCAACCAGTCCCAGATGGAGCTAGTGGATCGAATGAAGGACAACATCGCCAACCTTCGACAGCTGCAAAGCCAGGTCTTGGATGAGGAGCTAATCAAGTAAGACTGGTCTTTAGATTTTTTTTATTAATGCTGCTGTGTTTTGTATGGTGAGTGTAGAGAGCCGGAGGCCCTTTTTACTGAAAACGAGGCATTCCATATTATTGCTTAGGGGTGACAACGCATTTACATTTTGATGCTTAATAGAGAATGAATGTAGATATCTATGGGCACCAGCATCCTGGCGGATTGTGTTCTTGACCATTTTATATATTTACGCGAACACTACACATTGATTAAAACTCACTTTACTTCACTCTCGGGGGACTACCCTGTGACCATGGGTGCTGGAAAGCATCCGAAACGTCGGGGATTAAAAACAATTAAAAATAAACGCGATAAAATCCGTAAAAGTAGTTTATTTAATCAATGGATTGTGTTCTTGTTTATCACCGTTATTCTATAAAAAAAATTAAGGGATTTGTTTTAAATAATGGGGTATTAACCATCTAATTTATTTGTTGATTTGATATAGATTTTACTAAGCCATTGTGTGGTCAAGTGCCCCAAAATTAAATTAACCATACAGTTTAGAATAACCAACTCGTTTTTCCAGATGGAAAAGGGAACAGCAGCTTAGTGGCAATGGTGTGCCCATGCAGTCTAACCTGAACACCATCCAAGAGTGGTGCGAGATGCTGGCCGACCTCATCTGGACCAGTCGGCAGCAGGTGAACAACGTGGCGCGCATCAACAGCAAGACTATCGTCGAACTGAGGCAGCCGCATCTCGTTGAGATGCTGGACGACATGAGCAAACAGGTTTGTATCTCCTAAACTCTTTTTTGCTGTTTTTATTTGCTTGCTGGTGAGCGTTGTCCTTTCCAGGTCGAGGCGACCTATTAGTGCTCAGTGAAACTTGGGTCTCACGTATTACCTAACCCTGCAACAGGTAAAGCCATTTCCTCACCTTCTCTCCGAACACCCCATGCGCTTTAGATTCCGTACCGTTTTAAGTCACTCGGAGAGCTATATGACGATGATATCCAAAATTGGTTTTACTTGAAATCTACATAGCCGTAGGGTTATGTAAGTTATCTTGCTATGTACATAGCGAATCGTGTCGGTTTACCGTCCTATTGGACTATGATAGTGAGGGAGCAGAGAGTTGCAATGTACTTACGCATACAATCGGGCACTATAGTCCTGTCCTGCGGAAGCTATTCTCTGTTGAGACTCGTCCCCGTGACCGATGTCGGTCTGGAGGACATTATAACATCTTCATATATTAAGTATTATCCTTTCCTGTCTGGACTTTATATACGTGGCAGAGCCACGCTGCAGCTATATTATGGTTGCAGCACGATGCTATTTCGCATAATATAAATTTTGTATTTTTTTAAAAGAATAAGGATGACAAAGGAGCACACAGCCCACCTGATGATATGTGGATGCTGTGCCCCATAGACATTTATATTTATCTTCGATTAGAAATCAAAACGCAGATGCATTGTCACACCTGAGGTTAAGATGGAATGCCTCGTTTCCAGTAAATAGGGTCTCCAGTTGTCTACACTCACCATACGAAACATAGCAGTATTAAACCCGATCGAAGGCCTTTCGGAAGGTAATTTCATTTATACAACACTTGAGTTAAAATTTTTTTTTTGTTAATTCACTGCGTCCGGATTTTATAACAAAAAAATAAGGTAACCGTGGAGTCCTGGTATTGATAATTATTTCTTTCACAGGTGACTAGTCTGCTGTCCACGTTGGTGACCTCCACCTTCGTTATAGAGAAGCAACCACCTCAGGTGATGAAGACAAACACTCGGTGAGTTTTACGCTATATTATCTTGTATCTTTGCTTAGGGTAGGTTATCTCTGTAATGAGTGATAAGAATAACCGTGCAGTAGGGTGAAGGAAGCGTAGAAAAGTTTATCAGAAAAATATTTCGAGGATATGATTTGCCAATACGCTAAGAAAAAATTTTTATAGGATGTATAGCCACTTCGGGGGCTATATTATGGTTGTAGCACGAATGGGGCGGCTTGACCGGGATAAAAATGGCAGCTTAATGATGCTGTGTATCATATAGTGAGTGTAGAGAACCGGACCCTTTTTACTGGAAAGGAGGTATTCCATATTAGTTCTCAGGGGTGACGACGCTTCTGCATTTTGATTCTTAATCGAGGATAGATGTAGATGTCTATGGGCCACAGCAACCACTTACCATCGGGTGGACTGTATGCTCGTTTGTCAACCTTATTCTATTAAAAAAACGACGGGTTGCAGTCCGGGAGTGCCGGCAGAAGTGAAAACTTGAATATTAATGTTGTGCATTTTTGATATTTTGGAATTCTTAGGGAATAATTTTGCACGAATTTCTTTAATTATCAGTATAAAAGTACTATCATTTATGTGGTAGAATACAATATTTATTTATTGCACTATCGTACACAAACATGACAATTTATATTACGTTCGCGCAAGCGCCCTGCGCCGCCTAAACGAAACAGCAGGCCGTCGCGCAGTAGAAAGAGAGGGGGATACTTGCTATCCTACGCCGCGCCGGCTGTCTCTCTCCATCCGTCTTATGAATTTTCGATCAGGTCACGTGTCCTGACGCGAGTTTAATATTTTTTACCAATTACAAAAAAAGTGTACAACGCCGATAAAGAAGTTTTCACTTCAAAAATATTTGTGAACAAAAATCAGGTAGAGAGTGTAGTAAGTTGAGCAGCTTTTGCTACGCCCTGCGAGAGCTCCATAAGGATACAAAAGCAAGTGACTCAAGTGGCTCCCGATCCGATTTCGCAGAGACCTTGTTAACATCCTACACAGTGAAATAATACCAGTTTTTACGGAATTTATCGCGTATATTTAACTTTTTAAATACCCGACGTTTCGAACGCTTTACAGCACTCATGGTCACGGGCGGGACTGAGATGTTCAACGTCCATATGTCATAGTTAACCGCGGTTACCATAGATTAAAATTTAACTTTTGTTTTAATAATAACAAATCAGTCTTCGTCACTTATTCAGTCTAATGCCGCCATCTTGGCTCGCTAGTACCATGGTCACGGGGGGGGGACTGAGATGTTTGACGTCCCAATGTCAAGGTCGCCGGGCTAACTATGATGAAGATTTTCAACGAATTGGAGAAAGACATAGTCGATACGGCGCGCGTCACACCGTTGTTATAACCTGGTTAATCTAAAAATTATCTAAAATTAATCACACATCTCACTTTATTTAAAAAAAATTCCCTATCACATGGGTCTACGATAACAAACAGTATAGGCATTCAAACAAGACATTATTGTTTGCGAAATGAAGCTGCAGGTTCTTATCAAGTTTTCAAGAATGATAAGAAGCATTATCTAAAACAATAACTGCATTCTCATGCAATATAGGTAAAACATCTTGGAACCAATTTTCAAACACTTGCGTACATATCTTGGTGGTAGTCACCGGTTTTTTTAGATTCAAAATATTTCAATCCTCTACAAATCCATTAATACTGCCGATGTGTGCAATTATAAACCGCTTGCCTTTTCCTGCAATAAACAGAGCAGAACAGAAACAGAAACTTTTTTATTCCATGTAGATTATAAACAATACTTATTGAAAGTCAATTTTTTCATTTACCACTGGTTCGCAAAAAAATCCTCCGTCCTGGGAAGAACCAGCAAGAAACCCAGCGAGACTACTTTAAAAAAAATAGCTTTAATAATATTAAGGAATAATAATAATCTGTGTGCATCTGGCAGTGAAATAATCTGGCATTAAGGTTGCCCTAGTCGAAGGCACGAACTAAGTGGTGGGCGGGGTAAAATGCACATACACATACGCACGCGAGTGACGCAATGCGAGACGGCGTCATCGCGTACCTACCTATGCGATTCATTTTTGAATAATAACAGAAACACAAACGGCACTTTGAGCTGCGTATCGTAGTGGCTTAGCAATGAGGCTGCGCTTGGCACCGCGAGTTCGAATCCCGCACGGAACAAGTATTTGTATGGCCTGCAAATAGTTGTTCCGGGTCTGGATGTTTGTCCTTGTGCAATTTATGTTTGTAAACTGCCTCCACGATATTCTGTTGGAGAAATCGGGGGCACTCTTCAATAAATGACAGCAAATCAACCGCGATTGCTGCTATCGCCTATGTATGCATTCTTTACACAATCACACAATATAATATCGCGCCTGTACCCACTAAGGGACATAACTCTCAACTAAAAACGGTAACATAAAAAACTTTTTTTTGAAAAAAAGTATAACTATTTCTAAAACAAACACAAAAAAATGTAACATAATTATGTTTTCTTTATGTTTTTGTATTTTAGGTTATGCAAATATTACTGTAGGTACTATGTATTCTAAATAGGTATTTACTTTCCAGAAGTAGCTAGTTAGCTATAATAGCCCACAGGCAACTCCCCGAAGTATATGCCAGCCAGTGTCAGGATAACTGCTTTTTCGACAGCGCGATTTTGATGTGAGTGGGGCTTTTATATAGGTTAATTAAATAAATAAAAAATGTTAGTTTGTAAATTGTTTATTGATTGTTTGTGTTCAATAGCGGTTTGAAATATTCTCTTAGTACTTAGAAAGTTATCAACAATAGGCATTGTGTCACTGCAGGGACAAGCACAAACGTCTATCAAAATAGTAACGTATATAAACGGAATACTAACAGCACAGACTTCCTTACAGAAGTCCAAAGAACACGTCTAGGCAAGGTCAGTAATTAGAAGAAAACTACAATTTAGAGATCGATTGTAAATCAAATTCACAGTACAGACACAATTAGCGAAATATGAATAAAATTTTGATTTATTTTATGATAGATAACGCTAGTTGAAAACTAAACACTGTATGGGAATGGCATCACTGAACGAGTCAGGTGGTCAGTCCAAACAAATAAAAGGCGCTATTGTAGAAAGAGATTCGTTACGAAACGTTTGTAGGCTAGGGGGCTTGGCCTGTTTATGCTATTCATAACGAAGGCTATAAAATATGTAGGTACAACTTAGAAACTAAATCCCATGTGTACTTATCTGTATTCATAACCCAATATCTAAGGTATGTTAATGCGCTCCTTAGTTTTTATATAGTTTGTATTATTCTGTAATAAATTAAATCTAATCCAAAATATACTATAATACCATAGCAAAGCTACTACTATTTTATTTAGTAGTAGCCTATATAGTAGTATAGTAAATTATATATAAAAAATATGAGTATGTCTGAGGTAAGGTTAAATATAAACAAATAATTTGCCAAGTGCGAATCCGACTTCCGAGCTTCCGAGATTACAAGATTTATATACCTATACATATTACTATCGATAAAAAAAGCCAAAAATACACGTTTCTTTTTCTAGTAGAATTTTTTTTTTATAGAATAGGGTGACAAACGAGCACACAGTCCACCTGATGGTAAGTGGTTGCTGCGGCCCATAGACATCTACATCTATCCTCCATTACAAATCAAAATGCAGATGCGTTGTCACCCGCGAGGACTGAGATGGAATGCCTCATTTCCAGTAAAAAGTGTCTCCGGTTCTCTACACTCACCATACGAAATACAGCAGCATTAAGCTACTATTTCACGCTGGTATTCTGTGAGAGCGTGGTCCTTCCCCGGTCGAGCCGACCCATTCGTGCTACAACTATACTACTAATATAACTGCAGCATGGCTCTACCACGTAAAAAATTTCCTTTAATCCTTTAATTTCAAATTTATTTTTACCACTTGCTGTTATAGCGGCAACAGAAATACACGTTCTGTGAAAATTACAACCATCTACCTATTACGGATCATGAGATGCAGCCCGCTGACAGACAGACACACGGACAGCGGAGGCTCCGTAATAGGGCCCTGCTGGTTACCCTTCGGGTACGGAATCTTAAAAAGTAATTAGTTGTCCACTCACATCTGTATGATTCTTCAAAGGACCATATTAGCCTGGTTCTCGTATGATATGACCAATGTAATACCTGGACCTCCTGGACAACCTCTCTGAGTTTGTTTCGGCAGATCGGGTGCTTCTTCTCAGTTTCATGTTTTTGTTGTGTTAAAGTGTTTAAAAAAACAACTTACAAAACACATTTTATTTATCATTGACTGCCCTTCTTAGATTATTATGTACTTACATAAATTATATTAGGTATATTAGGATATGAGATTCCTATACGTAAGCAATTGAGCAATGGAGTATCGAAAATCTAAAAATTACCTATTCTAAATAAATTAATAATAATTTTAAGATTTTCGATAATCGTGCTTATCTATGAGATGTTTTCGTTAGTTAGTAAATTAAAGTAGTTGAGTACCTAATGTACTACCTGTATCGAAAGTTCATTATTATGTATCTACCTGTTTTCAATTCTAACTAAATGTGCTTCAACAAGCTTATGAGCACATTTTAGCAGCTATATTCATCCCGGCTTCAGCAATGGACACGAACAAAAGGAAGCAATTTTTCTTAATAAAGATGTAGATATGTAGGTATTACAACCATAAATAGATAGCAGCGGCTAACCTATTTAGTATGTGTGAGTGCGCGTTGCGCCCCCCCCCCCCCTCCGTCCGTCCCACTGATCGGGGAAACAATTTGTAGCGAAAGGCAAGATGTTTTATAACAAAAACGGGCGCGCGAAATTTTATAAACAGACCTTTGGTAGTCTGGATGTCACGAAAAATCTATTGAATGTATCTGTTCAAAATAAAATTATTTGCATTTTTGAACAACTAATCTATCCCTGTATGGTAACTGTTTTGCGATTTTCGTTCTTCTTATGGTATTTATTTCCGCCCAAAGATGTGTTAAAACTAGTGTTGAAATTCGGAATTTTCGACGCTTATAACTCTTAAACATACTCTTTTTAAGCTATTGCATAGCTTCCATCGCGGGCCTTGAGTGCGGGAAAATCCAGAAATTTCGTAACGAAAAAAACCTCACGCTCTCCGACGGGCACAGAGGTGTGGCTTGAATGCCGTGCATTGTCTGACGATGGTCTAATATATTGTTTATGGTTGTTAATATATTGTCTATGGTTTCTTTTCCTCAGTCTTCGACACGGTGTTTGTGTATAAAGTGTTTTGAAATTTTGAATATGAATGAACAAAGTGCATTTATTATTAATGAAGAAAGTCACGAAAAAAATAGTGAAAGAAAATGAGTGAGTACTCTATATACATACCTACATTTTATTATTATCACAAATGCAGTACTAATTTTGAATTGAAAATATAATACTGCTATAAAGAGAACCTAAATTTTTGATATTAAAATGAGCGATATTAAAAGTAGCCTTCTTTATATACACATATACACACGCGTATAGTTTAAATCCTCAATTTATATTCTTAATATGTATATATATATATATATATATATATATATATATATATATATATATACTCGATTAACCGGACTAATTGTTGCCGTTAGGGATTCGGATAATCGAAAATCCGGATGATCGAATGTATGAAGAAAATCGGGTTTTGTTCATTTGTAGTACATATGTACATACATGTGTTATGTGTTTATTAAAAACAACAATTTCAACGAAAATCAATGTTTATTAAGAAATTATTATTTTTTAATAAACAATGATTAAATTCCATGAAGAGATATAAATCTATATAACCATCCGTTACTTGCGACAAACGAGCCGCCGTCACCTAATTTTTTATTTAACTGTAATGCTTTTTCACAAAGCAAAGGGCCAGATATCATTTGCCCAGTTGATCGTTTTTGTAAAAACCAACAATACAAAGCGTCTTCTAATTGCCAATTTACTCGCGGACATAGGTCCTTATGTCCGGGACGGGGGTTTGTTAGCGCCTGATAGTAGATCGTCTTATCGAGGCTAGCTGCATTTGTGCGCGCGGTCGGTCACCCCTAAAGTTGGGCGTTATAACAAACAACAGATAATATATTTCATTATATATTTTTAATCTTACAACACATTAGAATAATGAACCATTGAATGTTATTATATTCATTATCGTTAGAAAGCGTCATCTGTTTACGTTTACGGTCCAACCGTCGCGTCGGCCGAGACAATGGGAGTCAATAAAATACTACCTACATTCATTATGCCACAAGGATTGCGTATAGCTTACACTAATTTAAACTCTAAGCTAACTTAATAAGAGCTTATTTTACTAACACTAAATTATAACGGTAAACAAAAATATATTATTTCCTCCATTAGTTGCCTGTTGTGCCTGTTATTTAATTTGGCTGTTGTAATATATAATATATCAGTTTAGTGTTCAGTTAGCTGTCTAGCTGAGATGACAATGACACTGTTATCTGTTAAATTATATACGTAATGTTTTGATAGCAGGTCCCCATATTACGTGAAAAAGCTATTGTTGTTTTTGTTTATTTTTCGTTAAACAAAACGCGAACACAGCCGACGACTGAACTGAACTAACCGCGTGTACAATGTAATATTTAAAACTGTTATAATATATTATAACAGTTTAAAACAACAGTTAGAAAAATATAGTTGTTCATATATTGAAAGTCTCCTTGTTTTGTCTTAGACTTATGTTGATAGAGCGTGCCATTTGAACTTAAAGACAATTAATTGGACAATAAATAATAAGTGACAAATCTTGCCGTGGAGCGTGGAACTGAGTAGTTGCGCGTCTTGTTAATATAATTGCCGTACGGCCGCCCTGACGTATGTGCTGCGCGAACCTGAGTTTTTTGCGACGCGGTCCGGTGATACAGTATTTTTCACAAATAGTGAGTTCGTTATAACGCGGGTTCGGTTAAATCTGGTTGAATTTGATTGGATTAACCTAAGTAACTTGAATTAATATCAAAGAAAAAGAAATACTGCATAAATAAAATAAATAAATAATTATAATTGCATAAGTTGATACAAAATGCTATGCTGTAGCTTTACCGCGGCAGTCCCCGAGTGCCACACGTCTTTTTTTTTACTTTTTTGTTTCCATACAGGGCTAGATAATGATGAGACAAATTGAAATCATTTTTTATTTTGAACGTACACCATCAAACAGTAAAGTAATCGCCGGATGTATGGAAGAATAAGCGACTAGTGTACCCGACTACGACGGGTGTAAGCTGCTATTCTACGCTGGTATTAAGTGAGAGCGTTGTCCTACCCTGGTAGGACAACGCTCTCACTAGCCGACCCATTCGTGCTGCGGCTATATTATAGCTGTACGTAAAAAATGGTGGTTGATAAACTTTCGCTGCTATTCCTACTGCACTAGCTAAACGAAACCAATTTTGTTCAGTTTTGAAGTGGTAACTTCCAGATCGTGTTTATATTCACTAATTCTATTTTGCTCCAGCTTCACGGCTACAGTCCGGCTGCTTGTTGGTGGTCAGCTGAACGTCCATATGACTCCACCTAGAGTAACGGTAAGTTTTAATTAAAAATACACTAATTGAAATATTTATAACGTAAATAGCTAGTATAAATAATATTTATTTATTTGTTTTAAAATCTTTATTGCGTCCCCTTAGGCAAAAAAAAAGATACAAAGGGACTTAATAAAAGATTCGACACTCTAATTTTATTTATTTATATAAATTTGCAAATATATTAGAAATAGAAACAGAAACTTTTTAATTCAGTGTAGATTATAAATAATACTGGTTTGGAAAAAACCTCCGTCCCGGGCAGAGCCAGCAAGAAACCCAGCGGGATTATTTTTTAAATAACAGCTTACAATCATGTATATTACAATTAACAAAACAAATTAGAAATAGCTTGGTGGTGATCACCATTCTCAGGGGTTATTATCATCCATAAATTCCTTAATATTATAATAACCTTTTTATACAAACTTAGTTTAATAAAGTTTTTGGACTTTGTGTAGGTCAAATTTTGTATATTTCATAATGAAGTAACCTATGGGGCAGGCGTATATTCAACAGTGGACTTTTTTTAAACTCCAAGGGTAACGGTATGGTTAAAATTTGTGGTCACAGGTGGTGATAATCTCCGAACAACAAGCACAGCTGCTGTTGAAGAACGAGACACAAACCGGGCGCGGCAAGCAGCCGGTGGAGTGCGGGGACATCCTCAACAACAGCGGCTGCATGGAGTACCAGCCCCCCAGCAGGCAGCTCAGCGTCAGCTTCAGGTATACTCACCCTAGCCTCTCATTACGCCTGACTTCTACCGGTTAAAAACCCTGTGGTGGTCACCATCAGAGGCTCGTCCTACATTTCAATATTTTAATTTTTCTGAAGTCAGGTAGTAACAGTGTAGTGGTGGTGTAAGAACAGTGGCGAAGCTTCCATTAAAGCCGAAAAGCCGGGCTTGCCTTATTAAACCTGAATCAATCAATGATATCAACTAATAAAATAACTCGTAAAATGTTTCAAGCAATTCAAATTTCCCACGCACTCCACTGTTCGACACATGTAGACCGATGACCTCGTATTGCCTTAGCGATACTGCTGCTGTCATAAAAAATGAGTTTTAATAGAGCTAATAGTTGTCTCCCTCGCTCGCGTGGGCTTTTTTACGGGGCTTTCGAGAAGTCGATCGCTCTCTTTCCAACCTATGGCAAAATATTCTATAATGAAATATAACTACGATTGTATATATAGCAATTAGTATAGAGATTTAAAGCCAGGCCTTTGGGAATAAATTTGATAAAAGCGGAGGCGCGCGGGCAATACGTTTGCAAGTTCATTTCACGTTTCCATGTTTAATTAATCTGTGTGCTTATCTTAAGCGATTTAATATTATGAGTTCAAAATTTATGCTTTTTTAAAGATTTTTAATGAAAATGGAGGATAATAGTGTTCCTTGTGATGAATTGAAGTGTGTTAAAGTGATAATCGGAAAGGAAATCTTTAAACTTTGTTGAGATAATACACAAGGTTAAGAGTGTATTCAGACTAATACAATTACGCAATTAAAAACAGTTATTGGTACAATTAAAACGTTCACCAACATTTTACGTGGACGTAATTAAATCTTTCCATAAGAAAGCGAGACGATTCCACTTATCTTATCTCTTATCCATTAGAATGTAAATAATTTTTTTTTAATTTTGTACATAGTTTGTTTGTACTTTGTTCATGTATTGTATTGGATGTAAATATTTTTTTTCTTTCGCCTAAACAAACCCAAACGGCTTTCTTCAAAGCCACCGAAGCTATGCAATTGCTGATATGTAATACAATCTACCTAGCAGTGGTATGCCTTCTGTGTGCTTTGTTAAACACGTCCTTGACAGCACTGAATATGAAACTGAAGCGTGGAGACAGATCAAGATTGGTGTATTTTTATAAAACTGCTAAAAACAACAATCTATATTTTTATCAATTTATATCTTGGGCTTGCCCTAGCTTGAAGCTCTAGCTTCGCCACTGTGTAGGAATATCCCCTACCCTATATAGTCCCGTGGGTGTCGTAAGAGCTGACAGAGGGAACACAAGAAGAAAGATCGTCTCATAGGGAATCCCCGTTATAAGGCAATCTTTAATCGACCCCGTTGCCAAGCTTGGCAAGCGCGTTGACCGCAGTTGTTTTTATTATATTTAATTGTTATCTTGAAGATGAAGATGAAGATTGCTGCCCATCTCCATTTTCAGTTTCGCTCTGTCGCCTCTTACATCTAATGGACAGTATGAGATAGTGGATATTCTTATATTACTACTGTACGGCAAAAAACGCATCCATTTATCCATTACAGCCTATAAAAGTCTGCTGCTGAACACAGGAGTGTCCCATATCTTACCTAATTGGGGAATTTTGCCATAGTTGCCACACTTGGCAACCACATTTGAAAATAGCATCAAAAGATGCTGCTTCCCATCCACCCCCTGGTCTGTTTACCCTCTGTCGTCTCTTACCACGCCCACGATTTATTTATGCCCACCAAAACAAAAAATTGGTCAAGCATTAACTTATAAGTTAAAAAAAACTTTCTCCATCATCCATATTACAGGAACATGCAGTTGAGAAAAATCAAGAGAGCCGAAAAAAAGGGGACAGAGAGTGTGATGGACGAGAAGCTGACCCTCCTCTTCCAGTCGGAGTTCAACGTGGGTGGTGGAGAGCTGGTGTTCCAGGTGTTTATGGACTTTTAACAAAATATCTTTATATTCTTTACCAATCTCTAAAGTCCATGCTTGAACAATAATTTGTAAGTCATGCCATTTGTTCTGAGCGGGAATTGGACACGCATCCTACCTGCATACATAAGCATACCAAAATAAGGGACCAAGATGTGAGCCTTGAGGAACTCCTGAAGGAACGTTTATGTATTCAGACCCAAAACCTCTAAGTACAACTTCTTGAGAACAATTAGTAAGATAAATCTTAACCCATCCGAGTAAATCCCCGTGGATTCCAAGACTGTAGTTTCATAAAAAAATTTTATAGTTTACATAGTCAAAAGGTTTTTTTCAAAACTGTGTACATTAGGTCTACTTGACCAAGAAAAATATTCGCTAAGTGCAACATGGCTTTGTTACCACTTATAAAATTAATAACAGAAACCGATTAAATGTGAAATATACATTATATGTTAATATAGCTGCATGTTATGTATATGAAGGATGTAGCATCGGCTGTCGGCTCGACCAGGGATGGAGACCAGCATTCATGGAGCAAGAAAAAATTAACTTCTAATTAAAGAATAAATGCCGTGTAGTGGCGGTTAAGAATATAATATCCACTACCCCATATCTTCCCGTGGGTGTCGTAAAAGGTGACAGAGGAAAACAGGCAGGAGATGGGTTCCTGATAACAGCAACTGTACGACAAAAAAACTGCGGTTGCCAACCCGCTCGCAAAGCGTGGCAACTATGGCAATATACCCCCATGATTTATGAATTACACAGATAGACGGCCCCCAGTCCCCGGCGGCCCCGCTATTCCTGGCTACGGTGGCGACCATGGTAACTGCGGGGCAGGGGGTGCTAAGAATCTCCGGTGGAGGTTCGGTTGCAACCTATGACGACTCGACCTGGCAACGTATAACGCACGCACCCTGAGGACTGGCGAGAATATCTTGGAGCTGGAAGAAGAGATAGACAAGTTGCGCTGGAATATTATAGGATTATCCGAGGTACAAAGAAAAGTGGAGGACACGGTGATTCTCGAATCCGGCAACTTGTTCTATCACCGGGATGGCGACCATCTGTCCCAAGGAGGTGTTTGATTTATCGTTCACAAGTCTCTCGACAACAACATTTTAAAGATTGGGAGTGTGTCGACGAGGGTTGCCTACCTTATACTCAGAATCACCAAACGGTATTCGCTGAAGGTCATACAGGTTTACGCGCCAACGTCGGAACATCCCGATGAGTAGGTGGAGGAAATGTATGAGGATATTTCTAGAGCCATGCATTCCTCCAAAACTCACTATAAGGTGTTAATGGAAGACTTCAACGCAAAACTGGGAACAAGAAAGAATGGTGAGCTGAAGGTAGGGAAATTTGGGATAGGGCAACGGAACCCAAAGAGCCAGCACCTGGCCGATTTCATGGAGAAAGACGGACTTTTTATGATAAACTCTTTCTTCCAGAAGCGGCCCCACAGAAAGTGGACCTGGTCGAGCCCCGACGGTTCGACAAAAAATGAGATTGACTTCGTTATGACGACCAGACGCCAACTGCTCAGTGATGTCTCAGTGATCGCACGAAAACTGGCAGCGATCACCGAATGGTTAGAGGCACACTGGACCTAAAGGTTAAGTTGGAGAGGTCTCGTCTAATGAAGTCAACGTTCCGTCCCCCTCGTGCTCTAATCCAGAATACCGAAACCTTTCAGCTCGAGTTACGTAACCGCTTTCAGTGCCTAGAAGATTGCAATGCAGTGGACGATATGAATGAAGGGTCGTGGAAACTGCCCATGCGGTCGGAGCTAAGTTCTGCAAGACCCGCCGCAGAAGAACACAAAAACTCTCCGATCACACTCGTAATCTCATGGCTGTTAGACGGGAGATGAGGCTGCAATCGTCAACAGATTTGACAGCATACAGGCAACTGAACAGACAGATCTCCAAATGCATGCGGCGAGACTTACGCAACTTTAATACTGCTCGTATTAAAGAAGCGATCGAGCGGAACCAGGGCTCCAAAGTCTTTGCCAGAGATCTGTCTGCAAGAAAGAGCCAACTGTCAAGGCTGAAGACTGAGTGTGGCAGCATCGTTTCCGGGACACCTGAGATTTTGAGTGAGATTGAGAGGTTCTATGGGCAGCTGTACACATCATCGTTGGAGCCACACGCAAGTGTAACGATCCAAGAGCAAGTCTTATCCGACACTATTCCGATTTGAAGTCCTTCAGAAGCTCTTCAATTCCGTCGTCCATGCTGGCACTATTCCGGAGGCGTGGAGCAGACTTCTTCTGCGGTGGTCTTGTTCTTTAAGAAAGGCGACAACGTTCTCTTGAAGAACTACAGACCGATTTCCCTTCTGAGCCGCGTCTACATGCTGTTTTCGAGAGTCATTACGAATCGTCTCGCACGCAGACTCGACGACTTCCAGCCTCCCGAACAAGCCGGTTTCCGAAAAGGCTTCAATACCATAGACCACATACATATCCTGCGGCAAACTGTACAAAAGACCGAAGAGTACAATCTACTTTGCCTGGCGTATGTGGACTATGAGAAAGCCTTTGATTCCGTCGAAATTTGGGCGGTGCTGAAGTCCCTTCAGCGGTGCCAAGTTGACTGTCGGTATATCGAAGTGCTGAAGTGTTTGTACAGTAGGGCTACGATTGCTATCCGAGTACAGAACCAGAGTTCGAAACCTATCCAACTGCAGAGAGGTGTAAGACAGGGTGACGTTATATCCCTGAAACTTCACCGCTGCATTGGAAGACGTTTTCAAGCTACTGGACTGGAATGGATACGGTATTAACATCAATGGCGAGTACATCACTCACCTTCGATTTGCCGACGATATAGTCCTTATGGCAGAATCGCTGGAGGACCTTAGCACTACGCTCAATGACCTCAATGGTGTCTCCCAACGGATAGGTCTTAAGATGAACATGGACAAAATAAAGATCATGTTCATTGTCCATGTCACACCTATGCCGGTAGTTGTTGGGAGCACTAAGCTCGAATTTGTTGACGAGTACATTTACCTGGGACAAATAGTCCGACTAGGTAAGTTCAACTTCGACCGAGAGGTCAATCGACGGATTCAACTCGACTGGGCAGCGTTGGGGAAATTACGACACATCTTCTCGTCAGGTATACCTCAATCTCTGAAAATTAGATTGTACTAACAGTGCGTGCTGCCAGTGATGACTTACGGATCTGAGACGTGGTCCTTCACCGCTGGCCGTATGAGGACGCTCAAGGTCGCTCAGCGAAGGAGAGGGCTATGCTCGGAGTTTCACTGCGTGATAGACTCAGAAATGAGGATATCCGCAGTAAAACCAGAGTGACCGACATAGCCCAACGGATTAGTAAGCTGAAGTGGCACTGGGCCGGCTAAATAGCTCGAAGAACGACAACCGTTGGGAAAGAAGGGTTCTCGAGTGGCAGCCTCGTACCGGTAGGCGAAGTGTAGGGCGACCCCCCACTAGATGGAGTGACGATCTGGTAAGACATAGCATGTCGATGGATGCAGGTGGCTCAGGACCGTGCTTTGTGGCATTACTTGGGGAAGGCCTTGTTCAGCAGTGGACTTATGAAGGGCTGTAATGATGATGATGATAAAAAAATGACTTCTTAAACAACTAAAAAGATTTTTTTTATAGAATAAGGTTGACAAACGAGCACACAGTCCATCTGGTGGTAAGTGGATGCTGTAGCCCATAGACATCTATTCACGATTACGAATCAAAATGCAGATGCGTTGTCACCCCTGAGGACTAAGATGGAGTGCCTCGTTTCCAGTAAAAAAGGGTCTCCAAATATCTGCATTCACCATATGAAACACTGCAGCGTTAAGTTACTATTTTACGCTGGTATTCTGTGAGAGCGTGGTCCTTCCCCGGTCGAGCCGACGCATTCGTGTTACAACTATACTACTCTACGTACGAAGTGAATATAGCTGTGGCGTGACCCTATAATTTTTGAATTCAAATATTACTCTTTATAAAAAGTTGAAAAAATTAACAACGATATACGACAGGTGCATTCATTTTGTTACACTATAACATTGAAAATTTTAATTAATTTTAATGTTATAGTAGAGTGATCCTGAAGAAGGGCTCCCCAAGGAATGCCACAAAGCACGGTCCTGAGCAACCTGCATCCGTTACTTCCTGCATATCTGGTGTGATGAAGTGGTGTAATGATGATGTTGATGATGAGTGGAGTGATGGCAGTGATGTTGTGTGCAGGTGTGGACGCTGTCGCTGCCGGTGGTGGTGATCGTGCACGGCAACCAGGAGCCGCACGGCTGGGCCACCGTCACCTGGGACAATGCCTTCAGCCCTCCAGGACGCGTGCCTTTTGCTGTGCCAGATAAGGTATGTGCTTTCCAGATGAACGTGGTTATTTATTGTCAAAGTTATTAAATAGACCTTACATTCTCTACCATAATAATAGCGTGCAATATCTTTACTGATTATACTAAAATATTTAGGGTATTCTTAAAGTATTCTTATTTGGTTGAACTGAATAAATAAATAAAAGGAATTGATAAATATACATAAATATTTATTACATATATGTACTAACAAATAAATAAATAAATAACACATAAATAAATAAAAGCCCAATCAGATAGAAGTCCTGGGCAGGGGGAGACCAAAGGGCCGAGGGTTAAGGGGAAAGGAAAATAAACCAGTATCGAGAAGCATCGCTTACTAAATTTGAGCTCAAAGCGGTCCGTCACGGAGTCCCAGTCGCCTCAGATGATCCGAGAGGCTAACTGCGATTAGCCCAAATTACACCCTTAAGTTTTTTTTATAGAATGAGGGTGAAAACGAGCACACAGTCCACTTGAAGGTAAGTGGGTGCTGTGGCCCATAAACATCTAATTTAACCTCGATTACCAATCAAAAAGCAGATGCAGACGACTAAGATGAAATGCCTCGTTTCCAGTAAAAAGTGTCTCCGGTTCTCTACACTCACCATATGAAACACAGCAGCATTAAGCGGGTATTCTGTGAGAGTGTGGTCCTTCCCTGGTCGAGCCGATCAATTCATGCAAAACCATAATATAGATGCAGTGTGGCTCTACCACGTATAAAAAAACCATTTTTCACCTTAAAAATGTTTTAACCATTCATAATAAAAATTAAATTATATATTTCTCAAAATTCGTTGGCAGGTCACATGGGGACAGTTGGCTGAAACGCTACGTATCAAGTTCGGCTCGGCCACCGGTGGCGATCTTTCCGAAGACAACCTGAGATTCCTCGCAGAGAAGATTTTCAGGTAAGACTTTTCGAAGTGAAACTTCTTTATCGACGTGGTGGGGAAATTTAGAACGGGATTAAAAAAAACGTCACATTTTCTTGAAACGTTACACTGCCGGGGCGGCATGAGTATACTGTTATTTAAGGTGATATCTCGAAAATTTGGTGGTTTTTAGGGTTCCGTAGTCAATTAGGAACCCTTATAGTTTCGCCACGTCTGTCTGTCCGTCTGTCCGTCCTCGCTTAATCTCCGTGACCGTTAGCACTAGAAAGATGAAATTTGGTACCAATATGTGTATCAATCACGCCGACAAAGTGCTAAAATAAAAATTGGAAAAAAATGTTTTATTAGGGTAGCCCCCCTATATGTAAAGTGGGAAGTGATTTTTTTTTAATTTCAATCCTAACATGTGATATATTATTGGAGAGGTATTTAAAAATGAATAGGGGTTTACTAAAATCATTTTTTGATAATGTTAATAATTTCGGATAAAATCGCTCCAAAAGTAAAAAACAATGTTTCCCCCCCCCCCTCTAACTTTTGAACCATAAGTTTAGAAAATATGAAAAAAATCTGAAAAGTAGAACTTTATAAGGACTTTCTAGGAAAATCATTTTGAACTTGGATGGAAACAACAGTACCCACTACCGGGAGCAGTGGGTGCAGGAGCGCGAACATAATGGATACCCACCTTTAAACTCATAAGTGGGAACACTTATTGTGACGAACGGGAAACTACGGAACCCTACACTGAGCGTGGCCCAACACGCTCTTGGCCGGTTTTTACATTTCTTTTTCATTGCACATATTTTTTAAGTTTTATAGATTACGAACCAATTTTTGGTATATGATATTTGACTATATGACCTTGGATTTTATAAAAGGATTACACGATAAAATGTGATTTTCTTGATAGAAAAATTGCAAAATAGGCTCTAATTAGCTGTGAGCACGCACGTGTGTTAAGCCCTATAGCGAAAAATAGCAATACTACGCTGAATATTTATTTGGTAAACATTTTAGCTATTTCCCATTAGGTGATGTTTCTAAATATATGGTAAAAATTGGTTTTAGGCATGTCGTCAATGAAAAATGCCAAAAAAATATGTTAGTATATTTGTAAATAAATAGTGACGTTACTGGGGCTGGAACAGAGGGAACTTATTACAATAATTTTTCTTTCTTCTAGAACAATCTACCAGAAGTAATAAAATTTTAAAGATTATTTGGTAAATATACATTATTCTTAGGATAATAAACCGAAATCACGTTCATTTTTTGCTCTAAATCTTGACTTACTATACCTTAATGCACAACCGGGCATATTTTATTTAAAAATATTTTTTAAAATTATGAAACGATAGCATCTTGATCTTTTGATGATGTCACTAAGAATAAATAACAAAAATCGGAGATATATCCTATAGGACAAAAGTTACAGACGGCAATTTTGTTGCTGATGTCCGGTCTATTACTACTACGTACTTAATTGTCTTTGCATAGTAAACAATCATACATAAGTTCTCATAAACCATTTTTTTAAATCCATAACAAAGTTTTAAAAATGTTGTTTGGCGCTTACTTAGTTTTTTCTTCCGAGCGCGTGCTCGCTATAGATTTCACATAATTTGGGTATTATGAAGTCATTGCATCACTTTCATTCTGACACACCCTCAGTCGCCCGTTAGCTTCACCGACAAAAGTTTAAGCCACGCCCCCAAAACTACGATTCATTTTCAAGGTATCCTCTTTACCTACTTATGTAAAATATAAAATAAACGAATGATATGTCGTAAAGAACTTTCACTTCGTGCGTGTGTGCACAGTTAAAATCTCAACTATTATTTACATTTCATTCAAAGAAACAAATATTCATTTGACTAACATACAACATTCGTGGTAGGTAGTTTATACGTGGTAGAGCTACGCTGCACCTATATTATGGTTGTAGAACGAATGGGTCGGCTTGACTGGGGACGGACCAAGCTCTCACAGAATACCAGCGTGAATTAGCAGCTTAATACTGGCTGTGTTTCGTATGGCAAGTGTAGAGAACCGGAGACCCGTTTTACTGGGAATGTTGCATTCCATCTTAGTCCTCGGGGGTGACATCGCATATGCGTTTTGATTCTTAATCGAGGATAAATGTAGATATAAATGTAGTCTATGGGCCACAGCATCCACTTACCATTAGGTGGACCATGAAGGTTAGAGAACAGGAGAACGATCACCGTAGAAAATAGTGTCCAGAAATATGGACACAGTGAGGCGCTGCGATCGCTAAGTTCGCTCAATAAAAGTCATTTTCAGTCTATTTTTCCGATCAGATGCTAAACCACTTACACATCCACGCACAATAAAATATTTCCCCATTTTTTAATGTTTTTTTTTTGTCAAAAATTACAAAATTACGGAGTATGAAAATTTTCTCATTAAAAATGGAATGAAAATTTGTACATTATTCAACTAACTTCACCTACTTGTACTCATAAACAGCTAACTTCGCAGTCACTACTTACCGACGTCAGCGCCGCTATAAATTCTACAATTTTCAGGGACAGACGGGCTATGCTTTAGTACTTAGCGATCGTTTTCCTGTTCTCTAACCTTCATAAGGTGGGCTGTGTGCTCGTTTGTCACCCTTATTCTATAAAAATAAAGTTCCGGACTACCAGGGGGCTGTAACACCGCCTTGCAAAACGTTTGTCGGATTACCGCGGGTCAACTGTAGTATAATTTGCCCTACCCCTGTCACCTTCGTGTAAACCTGTCCGTTCATTGGTTGTCTGGCGTAGTATATGTAATAAGACCGCCCATTGCATACTTCTTTTGTATTTATAACTGTGGGGTGCAACGCCACTGGTTTTCGGTCGGGATCAACAGTATCAGTCGGGTTTAACTGGCTCAAAAACAACCTTACGTGTAAAAAAGCACTTAAACTAATATAAAAATAAACCGCAATTATAATGAATAATAATAATTGTTCTCCCCTGCCGAGGGCTTCCATCTGGTTGGGTATATATTTATTTATGTATTTTTATTTATTGTTTTTACTATAAAAGTTAAAAAAAGTTAAAGTTACAGCCTATATACGCTCCACTGCTGGGCAAAGGCCTCCCCTCATTTCTGAGAGGGTTTTAAGGCAAGGAAGTGTCCGCCGCGCTGCCCCAATGCGTGTTGGCGAACTTCACATGTATTCGAAATATTTTTTTTCTTATTCCTCAGACATGCAGGTTTCCTCACGATGTTTTCCTTCACCGCCGAGCACGTGGTAAATCAGCACTTAAAATTGCAATTAACAATTTCATTGGTGCCGGCGGGGATCGAACCCGGTTTGCTAGCGTACTGTGAAATTTACAGCGAGCGCTAACCATCTGAGCTACCACGTCTCATTATTAATATACATATATTAATAATTTTATTTTATATATTTATTCACCTCAACCATATTAGAATACTATATAAATATCCTAAAATTATAAACCCAGACAGTTACAGCATTTTAAAAGTCAACTGCTGAATGAACAGGCATCCGCTATAGATTGCCCAACATGGGGGATATTTGCCATAGTTGCCACGCTTGGCAAGCGGGTTGGAAACCGGAGTTTTTTATTTTAATTTTGTTATTGGGACGTCACCGCTGCCCACTTATTTGTTTTCCTCTTTCGCCGTTACGACACCCACGGGGGATGATATGGAGTAGAGGATATTCTTACACCGGCACTATACTATAATAGACGCCGAAATTATAGAAACAGAAACGGAAACTTTTTTATACGGTATTGATTATAAATAATACTTATTGAAAGTCACTTTTTTTTCGTTTACCGCTGGTTTGCAAAAAAACCTCTGTACTGTGAAAAACCAGCATGATACCCAGCGGGCCTATTTAAAAAAAATAGCTTATAATCACGTTGCATGTTACAATTAAAAATACAAAACAAATTAGAAATAGCTTGGTAGCGATCACGGCTATTATCATCCATAAATTCCTTAATATTATAATAACCCTTTTTATACAAACTTAGTTTAATATAGTTTTTGAACTTTGTGTATGTGAAAATGTTTTACAAGGTCGTATTGATGCTCACAGGACCAGTCTTCCCATGTCGACGATGGAACTGAATGCGATGACGGTAAGCTGGACGCAGTTCTGTAAGGATGCCTTGCCAGAGAGGAACTTCACTTTCTGGGAGTGGTTCTACATGGTGGTGAAGGTCACCAGGGACTACTTGAGGACGCTGTGGTGTGATCGGTAAGTAACATTTTTAAAAATCATGGTAGAGTCATGCTGCAGCTATATTATGGTTGTAGCACATATAGTTGTAGATTCTATGGGCCATAGCATCCACTTAACATCAGGTGGACTGTATGCAATTAGACTTATTTCTATAAAAAACTGACCGTATACAAGTCGGGCCACATTCTATTAGTGTTTCGTATGAGCAATAAACTTAATTTTTAAATAGATATTTAGTAAGATAAGATAATGAATTTTTTGTCTTAGTTCTTCGATAGTATTAAATTATATTTGTTTGTTTTGGTCACAACTTACAAATGACTTATTTCTATAAAAAAAAACTGACCGTATACAAGTCGGGCCACATTCTATTAGTGTTTCGTATGACCAATAAACTTAATTTTTAAATAAATATTTAGTAAGATAAGATAATGAATTTTTTGTCTTAGTTCTTCGATAGTATTAAATTATATTTGTTTGTTTTGGTCACAACTTACAAATGACTTATTTCTATAAAAAAAAACTGACCGTATACAAGTCGGGCCACATTCTATTAGTGTTTCGTATGACCAATAAACTTAATTTTTAAATAAATATTTAGTAAGATAAGATAATGAATTTTTTGTCTTAGTTCTTCGATAGTATTAAATTATATTTGTTTGTTTTGGTCACAACTTACAAATGACTTATTTCTATAAAAAAAAAACTGACCGTATACAAGTCGGGCCACATTCTATTAGTGTTTCGTATGACCAATAAACTTAATTTTTAAATAAATATTTAGTAAGATAAGATAATGAATTTTTTGTCTTAGTTCTTCGATAGTATTAAATTATATTTGTTTGTTTTGGTCACAACTTACAAATGACTTATTTCTATAAAAAAAAAACTGACCGTATACAAGTCGGGCCACATTCTATTAGTGTTTCGTATGACCAATAAACTTAATTTTTAAATAAATATTTAGTAAGATAAGATAATGAATTTTTTGTCTTAGTTCTTCGATAGTATTAAATTATATTTGTTTGTTTTGGTCACAACTTACAAATGACTTATTTCTATAAAAAAAAAAAACTGACCGTATACAAGTCGGGCCACATTCTATTAGTGTTTCGTATGACCAATAAACTTAATTTTTAAATAAATATTTAGTAAGATAAGATAATGAATTTTTGTCTTAGTTCTTCGATAGTATTAAATTATATTTGTTTGTTTTGGTCACAACTTACAAATGACTTATTTCTATAAAAAAAAAAACTGACCGTATACAAGTCGGGCCACATTCTATTAGTGTTTCGTATGACCAATAAACTTAATTTTTAAATAAATATTTAGTAAGATAAGATAATGAATTTTTTGTCTTAGTTCTTCGATAGTATTAAATTATATTTGTTTGTTTTGGTCACAACTTACAAATGACTTATTTCTATAAAAAAAAACTGACCGTATACAAGTCGGGCCACATACTATTAGTGTTTCGTATGACCAATAAACTTAATTTTTAAATAGATATTTAGTAAGATAAGATAATTAATTTTTTGTCTTAGTTCTTCAATAGTATTAAATTATATTTGTTTGTTTTGGTCACAACTTACAAATGAATATTACGAATGAATGTTTTATTATTTTTTTTTTAAATAATACAGTGTATTAGCTAATATACTGTGTATACATATAGAAATTTCAAATTTATAACAAGTTTATTTTTGACATAGAACCGTAACGACCCGGACCCGGACCCGGGTCTTAAACTGACATACTTTCCAGTTACCAGAATATATTTGTAATCTACGCAATTAGTTCTAGATAATGACACTCCAAATGCTAGGGTAAGATTTTTTTGGCTCCTTTTGAATGTATGGAACCACCCTAAAATCAATTAAACTGAATTTCTAATTCAATATTTGATTTTGGGTCAACATTCTCTACTTAATATCTAAATTTTAGGTCTGTAAGTCATTCCATCTTTGAGATAGAGATTTGTGACATACGTACAGCCAGATGTACTGACAGATGAAAGTAGAGTGACTTTAACAGGGCTCGGTTTCATCCTTCGGGTGCAGAACTGTAAAAAGTTGGAGCTTGTTTTTTTGTTTAAATGTTACAAGAAATCAATGGGAGGAGACGAATTGATGGATTTTTTTATAACTAGGAAAACTTGTCATTCATAAGCAGCAACTTATTTTTCGTTCTAGATTAATAATGGGCTTCATCCAGAAGAAGCAGGCCGAGGAGATGTTGGCCAAATGTCCACCTGGCACCTTCCTTCTCCGATTCTCCGACTCGGAGCTTGGTGGGATCACCATCGCCTGGACTGGTGGTGAGTATCACCAACTATTGCCATACGAAGATCCGGAAAAACTGGTCACAAAATAGGCACCACACATATACAATTGACATATTAACATATACACATTATTATAATGATATCTATGTATGTTATATAACATAATTTTATATCTATTATTATATATAATCATATTATATAAACACACACACACACGCGCGCGCCACACACGCGCACACACGCACGCACGCACGCACGCACGCACACGCACGCACACACACACACACACACACACACACACACACACACACACACACACACACACACACACACACACACACACACACACACCCGATTCGCTGTGTTAACAGACAGATTTTAATACATATTTATTTGTAAATAGCGTGCAATTTGGCATTTTCTAAATAATTTGCATGCGAAATTTGGAAACGATTGTTAGGTTAAAACACATCTCGTGTTGACATTTATATGTGTGAATTGACATGTTAGTGACATTTTAGCGGCTACACGGGCTCCGCGCACTCGCCCGTTCTGTTATGTATGTATTATAGTATTCTATGGTTACGAGCATTACTTCTTACACCAGGGATGGCGAACCAATGGCACGCGACACTATATTTTGGGCACGCCACCAATCACAAATTTCACTATGAAGTATTATATTACGAACCAACGCGAGTGGTCCTAGTTAAATCGTGGACTACTATTACTAATGACACATATTTCGTTTCATCATCATCATCATTACAGCTCTCCACTAGTCCAGGCCTCCCACAAGGTTACATAGTTCGTTTACGCATAGCATAATGGTCAATTTGTTGACAAAATTGTAGTTAAAAGTCCATTTGCGTTATATTTAGAATTTTACAGCCCCAATATAAGTTATTTGACATCTAATTTGCAACAACGGAAGTCACACTAATGTTACTTTAATACGAATTACGCGTATAACTAAAACATTTTTTATTATATATTGCAAAATGTATTTCGCACAAAGATTTAAATAGTTAGATGCGCCTTCACCTTGAAAACTATGGCATATTTTTGGATGTGCTCGTTTGCAAGACGCTGACGCGCGCACACTAATGCAATAGTGTCATCTCTTATTATCTTACAGAAATTGTGTATACTACTTTCTCTGTCGCACAAATGAGCACTGATTGCGAATGAGTGAGCTCACTCCTTTGAGAATGGACACATTTCGGAGTGGTTATGCTATGATAAGGATGCAACTAACTATTTAAATCTTTGATTTTGCAATGTCTATTAATAAATGTCTCAATTCAAAAATTAATATTATTTTCCCAATAATCACGAAGTCAACATTATTTTACGGTGCATCTATTACCTAATTAAATATTTCTTTAGAGAAGTAGCATGTTGATACATAAAGGATCACCACCCCTGTCTTACACCATAGTGTTTATTTATTTATTTATTTATTTATTTATTTATTTATTATGACACATCAACAGCATAACACACAATACATTTATATGCAAATCTTACATAAAACAAAGGCCTGGTATGTACGCCAATAAAGACGTGTACAACATTCTCTTAAAATCTAAGACATGTTATTATAAATACGAATATTAGAAAACAAAAAAAGCACAAAAATAGTACACAGATTATCAAAATAATTTTACAAAATTTTAAGAAATTTTAAGAACCTACTTAGAGAGCAGGTACACAGATAACTTCTTTCTCAAACTAATGCATGAGTCATGAAAAATGTCAATGTCAACAAATACACATACCCGGTTGTATTCGGCGCAAATTTTTAATATAGGCGAATTTTTTAAGAGGTTTGTTCTACTGGCAGGGATGTAAAAGATTTTAGTAATAGGATGGCGTGGATAGTTCCATGGGATGTTAAGATTAATGCACTGAAGTAGGTTATTACAATCTACGGCACCAGAAATTATTTTTTTTAAAAACAATATATTTAACAATACACGACGGTCACAAAGTGACATCATTGCGAAATGTTTGAGACGAACGTTATAGGTGTTACGGTGGGAAATGCCCGAAGAATGGAACGCAAGATGTCTAGTAAATGAACGCTGTATGCTTTCAATGCGTTGGGAATAAGTGATAAACTGAGGACCCCAAACCACCGATGCAAACTCTAGGTGACTTCGAACCAAGGCGTTATATAAAATTATTTTGGTTTTGGCTGACATAAAACCTTTAGCGTTTCGTTTTAGGAAGCCAAGCATTCTTCCAGCTTTTTGGACGGTAGCGTCAATGTGAGACTTAAAATTTAATTTGCTATCCACTATTACGCCTAAATCTCGAACTTCTTTAACCTGCTCCAAGGTATCAGAGTTCATCATATAGGAGGACATGAAAGGTATAGACTTTCTTGAGAATTTAATGTGATATGATTTTTTAGTATTAAGTATCATACCATTTAATTGACACCATGTACTAATTCTGTTTAAATCACTTTGGATGAGTTGCACGTCTACAATAGATTTTACTGTTTTGTATATTTTTAAATCGTCAGCAAAAAGACAGAATTCAGAGTTGCGTATTTCAAAAGTTATATCATTGATAAAGGCAGCAAAAAGGACTGGACCCAGATGCGATCCTTGCGGAACGCCTGAGAACGCTATATAACTTTCTGATTTGTAACCATTCACTACCACAAACTGAAGTCTTTTTGCTAAATAAGACTGGAACCATTCTAGCAAAGATCCACATACCCCATATCTTTTTTAGCTTGTTAATTAAGCGCGAGTGACAGACTTTATCGAATGCACTAGAAAAATCCATATATATAGCATCAACTTCCTGTCCTTTGTCAATTTCTTTACAGAGATACGACATAAATGATACAAGGTTAGTTTCAATCGAATGGCCCTTCCTAAACCCATGTTGATGGTCTGATATACATGTGCTTAAGTGACGCGTAATAATTGGACATATCAAGGATTCAAACAATTTAGGAATACATGAAATAATTGAAATCGGTCTGTAGTTACTAACGTCATTAATGACGCCTTTTTTAAATACCGGAACGATCTTTGAATTTTTCCAAATATCAGGAAATACTCCATCACGCAAAGATTGATTGAAAATAATAGCCAGTGGTAACGCTAAGGCCGAGATACAACGTTTGACGAACACAGGGGGAATCTCATCTGGGCCAGCTCCCTTGAAAATGTCAAGCTTTTTGACTGCACTTATAATGTCTCTTTCAGTTAATTTTACAGAATTTAAACATGAATTATTGAACATAGATACGTCACCGCCGTCGTTTGCAGCCACTTTACTAAAAACAGATGAAAATTTGTTTGCAAACATTTGGGCAATATCTGGTCCGGTGTTTGCGACCTGATCAGCTTGATACATTATAGCTGGGATATTGGATACACCATTGCGCCTGTCCTTCACAAAACGCCAGTGTTGAAGTTTCCTGATTAATGTTTCACGGTGAACACAACCGAAGGCCTTGGTTAGGCCACAGAATATACCCAAAGCATCCTGTGAAAAAATATTTTGAAGACAGGAGTGGGACATATACAGGTCGTACCTACCTGCACTAAAAGTATCGGGAATGGAATATTTCTACAGTTCCTGTCATATTAAAATCTTTTTAATTGAAAACTCCTTGGTTTTAAAATCGAATACCATTTATTTATTTAAAAAAAGATTCTCGGTCTTGTCACAAGGTTTTGTCAAACTTGTCGTAGTCGTCGAGAAAATGGAATTGACTCGAGAAAATTCAAGAACGATGATTTATTATGACTTTCGAAGTGCTTTAACACAAAAACAGTGAGTTAACCGAATGATTTCTGCATTTGGTGATGAAGCCCCATCCAAAACCACAATTTATCGCTGGTTTGCTGAATTTCAACGTGGACGTGTCAAGCTCAGTGATGATCTCCGTCAAGGTCGTCCAAAAACTGCAGTCCCCCAAGAAAACGTTGATGCTGTGCGTAAGTTGATTGAGCAAGAGCGGTATGTCACATACATACCGCGAAATTCAGGCAACGGCATTGGCATGAGTCAAATACAAATAATCTTGCATGAACAATTAGGTGTAAAAAAGTTGTTTTCCCGATGGATACCGCATTCGCTCTGTGAAGAGCAAAAAGCGGCTCGCGTTACTTGGTGCGTCAGAACTCTCAAAAGATTCCACGCAGGATCCTCAAATGCTGTATACAACATCGTATCAGGTGACGAATCCTGGATATACGCGTACGAACCCGAAACAAAAAACCAGTCACGAGTTTGGGTGTTCGAAAATGAGTTAAAGCCAACAAAAATTGTTCGTTCACGGAGTGTTGCAAAAAAAATGGTGGCCACGTTTATCTCCAAAACCGGAAAAAAATGTTACGACTATTCCTCTTGAGGGACAAAGAACGGTTAATGCAGAATGGTATGCTAGCATTTGTTTGCCACAGGTCGTTTCTGAACTCCGTAAAGAGAACTGCAACCGCCGCATCATCCTCCATCACGACAATGCGAGTTCTCACACCGCACACAGAACAAAAGAGTTTTTAGAGCAAGAAAACATAGAATTATTAGACCATCCGCCGTACAGCCCCGACCTAAGCTCTAATGATTTCTATACATTCCCTAAAATAAAGAATAAATTGCGTGGACAGAGATTTTCATCACCTGAAGAAGCTGTGGACGCCTACAAAACGGCCATTTTGGAGACCCCAACTTCCGAATGGAATGGTTGCTTCAATGATTGGTTCCATCGCATGGAAAAATGTGTCAAATTTCGTGGAGAATACTTCGAAAAGCAATAAATACATTTTTAAATAGTAATGTTGTGACCTTGATTCCCGAAATTTTCAGTGCCGCCCTCGTATCCTGTGAATTGTTCCCTGCATCAGTTGTCGAATGATCCCTTGTAAAACTGAATTGATTTTTATGTAGTAAATTATTTACATTAAAAATATTTAACATTTTATCTAGAATATTTTTTTTTTTCAAAATTCACAGTTTTTTATTAATTAATTTGAGTTGTTACGTTATATATGCTGTCGATTCTTACGACACCTACTGGACGCGATTTAAGGTGATACCTCGAAGTGGTTTTTCTATTTATAATATTTTTTTAAGTTTTATAGATTACAAACAAAAATTTTGGTATATGATTTTTGACCATACGACCTTGGATTGCATAAAAGGAAAACACGATATCATGAAATTTTCTCGATAGAAAAAAATATCAAAGTAGGCTCTAACTATTTACATTTCTCGATGACACTACAATATCCTTACGAATAATTTCATGGGATTATTTTTAAGGCACAGTAAATAATCATATCTAAGTTCTCATAAACCAGTTTTTTAATCCATAACAAAGTTTTGTTAAAATAAATAAAAATGTTATTTGGCGCTTACTTAGTTTTTTTTCCGAGCACTTGCGAGCTTTTTTGCTGCACTTGCTTGCACTTGGTATGGCTATCTTATAATTTGCGTACTATAAAGTCATTGCATCACTTTCGTTTTGACACTCCCGCGGTCGTCCGATAGCTTCACCGACAAAGGAATAAGCCACGCCCCCAAAACTTCGATTCATTTTCGAGGTATCCTCTTAAATGTATATATAGATCAAATTCATTAATGGATGACGTAGATGACTTAAGATGTGTGCAAATCATATAGAATTAAATTTTTAATGATGTTTTTGTTTCACAGAGGGCAACGAAGTCTTCAGCCTCCAGCCGTTCACGTCGCGGGATCTGATGCTGCGATCCCTGGCTGACAGGATCCTGGATCTCGCACAACTCCAGTTCCTGTACCCCAATGTGGCTAAGGACGACGTTTTCTCCAAGTACTACACCAAGCCCGGTGAGATAAGGCTTTTATTGATTCCTTTAACGATTTATTAACATTTTTTTTTGGTTAAGTGCTTATTACTTATCTATATCTATCTATCTATCTATATATATGTATATATATACACATAAACACTCACGCCTGTACCTCTACCTCATTCGCCTCTTTTACATCCATATAGCTACGCATACATGCTCGTCGGTTAAGGGTACTTCTAATGCGGCCCATTTTTAAAATATCGCCAATTTGGTCGATAAATTTTCTTCTAGGGCATCCCTTCCCGACTCGGCCGTTCACATCTGCCATATGAATTTGCTTTGTCACTCTTTCCTAATTCATTCTTTCTACATGACCAAACCACCGAAGCATTCCTTTCTTAATCCTGGTCACAACATCAACTTGCATACCACATTTATCTCTTATCACGCAATTTCTCACCCTGTCATTCAGATTCAACTTTAGCATACTCCTTAAAGACCGCATTTCTACAGCTACATATTATATACATAATCATAATACATACACTGAATTTTTAGTTAAACATTTTTATGCACTGATTATTATCAAATTAGTTATACTAATTTCGGAAGAATGTTGTGGTCACAGTACAAATCACGAACGCAAAGACTTAAAAACGTGTTTGAAATAAAGTTCATTTTTCTTTATTTTTATTGAATGACAGAATTAGTAATAATACAAATAAAACTGCACTCTTAAAGGTCTTATTGCCTTAAGTTACGGTCCATTCACTAATTTACGTAGTTTTAATTATTTTTGGGATAAAAAATTACCTATATTAAAAATTATGGGAATCGATTCAGTATACGATTCTGAACAAACTACTTTCTCAAAGTGCGTTAATTATGTTACATGTTGTATATATACAGGTTGTTAGTGTAAACACCGTTATCCTTGAAACCAGTGGTTTGGTTTCACTTATAGAACGTAAACTCAATGAATTAAAAAATGTTATTTACTTTCATAAAATTTAAAAAGTTTCTGTTTGACACCGTCCGTAAATTCATGGATACCCTATGCGTCCGAGTGACGTCATCACTGTACACCGATGATCACCGCCCGCGCTAGCTACCTACACAGCATTCCAATAAAAACACAATAGGTACACATAACCTGTGAAGTTTTCCTTCATACTTTCATCCTGGCTTAGGACAGGCAAAAATTGAGGAATTAAGGAAAAATTGAGATTTTACTAAAAAAATGTTATTTTTCATAAAATTTTGAAATTCAATAATTTAATGTTATATATATAAAAAAAAACGATGAAATAACCATTGTGAAATTTTGATGAAGTTGATTCGAGAATGGTTTAGATTCACAATTAGACCCGGTAGGTGGCGCTGTTGTAATTATCTGCAGCAGTTTGGAAAAAATTTACTTTTTTTAAGTATGAAATTTGTTATCGTCAACCAAATATAAGAAATAACTTTTGACATTCCTCTTTCATCATTCAGCAATAACTTTGCACAAGCGTACTCACACGATTTAAAATAACCATTTACGTAAATCCGAAGAATTATAAAGTTATGTATATTTCATTACAACGTGTATGGTTTTTTTATCACTAATTTAAATTTGAATCTTTCAAACAAAGCAAAATATTAAAAAAATAACCAGTATCAACTTTTTGTATTTGACGTCGTTTCAATGATATGTCGCTATGTACACTACCGTAATGTTTGGATGATTAAAATTAACTGTTGTTCGAATAATCGGCAAAAATATTTCAATAATCGGTAAAAATATTCAAATAATCGAATAATAATTTTTTTATGTATCATTTGTTTAATTTAATTTTAATTTTTCAAATTCCTTAAATTACATGAATCATGAATAAAACGAGTTATATTTTTAATTAGTCAACATAAATTCGTTGAGGCAAAAAAACTCGTACGAGGCCGCGGTATAAAAACCACTACGTAATTTCAATATCCCGCCATTTCGGGAGCCTATTTATTTTGTGACTCGGCTTTAACTTTTTGAACTGTTTCTTCAATATTCGTTGAAGCATGTGCCCATTTCACAAAGGATCATTGGCCAAAAGTGGTAGAAAAAACAAAAAAAAAACATTATGGATGACTTTGAAAGAGACATTAATTATGACTGCATTATTGAAAATTAAACAACGACGGCTCAACTACTTGTACGGAAAGTGATTAAATAAACTATTTTTATTTATTTTTAATTTAGTTATAATTTTACATTTTTACAACCAATACGTAGAAACTGATAAATCTTGTCTTTTAAATTATCCGTTTTTAATTTATTCTGGTATTATTCAAACCAAACTGTAAATGATTAAAAACTCTAAATAATCGATATCTATTTTTTTAAGAATCGAATATTGTACGTTCCCATTTTTTCGGTTGGCATGCCTGGTGCAATAAGTCGGACAGCTGTCAAAATGTATTTCTTAGATTTGGTTGACCATAAGTATGATTAGACCGTTGTCAATTAATAATAATAATATTAAAGCTTTTTATTAGTCGCAGTTCACACATGTTATTAAAAATGTACAAAAAATATCATCACAAACTTAACTTGAAACATACTTAAGGAACATAAAAGTAATGAGACAAACTGGCCTGTAACTAAGCTATGTAGTGATTTCAGGTCACCGCTGGATTTCTGCCACAACCGACTTTTTAAAAAACAATATCTGAACCTAATTTTGGTATTGACGTGAAACAAATATAGAATAGATTGAATAAAACTATTATTTACGGATTTTATCGCGTTTAATTACTTTAATTTATTTTTATTATTATCCCGACATTTCGGGTGCTGCCATGGGGGACTCTAGTCCCCCCCGTGACCATGGGTGCTGTAAAGCACCCGAAATGTCGGGATAATAATAAAAATAAATTAAAGTAATTAAACGCGATAAAATCCGTAAATAATAGTTTTATTCAATGTGTAGTGTTCGCGTAAATTTAAGAAATCATTAAATATAGAATAGACTAAAATATTTATTCATGTGTGCTAAGTTAATTTGATGACTGCCTCGTTGGTCTAGTGGTTATAGTAGTACAACGGCTGATCATGAAGTCCCGGGTTCGAATCCCGGATCGGGATAAAAAAAAATAATTATTGAGTTTTTCTGTCAAGAAATTCTCGGTAGTTGCCCGGAGTCAGGAAGTTGGCGGTGTCTCACCCCCGTGGCTCGGAAAGCACGTAAAGCCGTTGGTCCTGCGCCGGATCTCTCTCTGGTCGTGTCGGTTTGCCGTCCCATCGGATTATGAGAGTGAGGCAATAGATAATGCACCTGTGCTTGCGCATACACTTGGGCGCTATAATCCTGTCCTGTGCCGATGGCTAGCCTCCGTTGAGGCAGGCCGCCGTGGCCGAAATTCCTTTTCGAGGACATTATTATAAGTAAATTTCGGTAAAGGAGACAATCGTTTTTGGGCCCACTAGAAATTTTAACGACTTAATGGTATTACACAAAAAATACCTTTTGAATTCAGTTTTAATAAATCATTTACATATAAGCCAGCGTCTGGGTCATACAAAACTTCTGTAAATCGAGTCTCGTTGCACCTTTGGTACCGTTTAATTAAATCTTTAGTTTGATGTTGTAATTCTTGTACTGAAACTTTTTAATTAAATGTATTTACTATCAAAAGTTCTTCATTCCGACATGATGTTGATATTTTAGATTTAGAATTCTCAGAAAGAACATTTTTGTATGATTTTAATTTCAAAAAATGTTTTTCTTGAATTTGATTTAAAGTCAAATTTTCTTGGATTTGTCACTTGTACAACATATAATATAATTTATTGCAAGTAATTTTTGTAACTTTAACCCTTCAAGCGTCATAAAAATCCCATGCAGTTGCATGCGCCCGACAAATCCGGAGCGGTCGCATGCGACCGCACCCACCCACAGCATTTAAAACCATTAAAACTTATATTTAGATACTACTTTTCTATGAAGAAGTTTGGCATTATAAAATCAATATGAATTACTCTATCCTCTAGTGCAATAAAAAAAATTGTTATCCTATGAATATTTATAATCTACGTTTATTTCGTACGCCATTTTCGCGTGAATGTTATTGTGTTGATTTTGTGTGTTTGGATTTTTCTAGTGTTTTATTAGTATTTTAGTTTTTATGGGTTAAAGTGCTGTGAAACCTCATGAGACCGCTAGGGGGTTGAGAGGTTAATGAATATTAAACTTTATAAAAATCATTAGCAATAGCAATAACTTAGTAATTTTTCAACAAAAACTTGAAATTTGCATGAAATAAGCATGTGTTATAAATAATTGGCCACCCTGGTTTTTATACCACATGTGCTCAAACATTATATAATCGACAATTCAAATTTTAATTATTACGTATTAAAAAATCGGTTACAGCTAGAAATATTTTGTAATGAGCGATGGCAAGACCAAATATTCACGGTTATTCCCCGAGAAAATCAATTGTTTAACAATAAATGAGTAGCCGTAGTACTCAATAATGTAAACGAAGGTATCAAAACTCATACTTTAAAAAAAGGAATTTTTCCAGACTGCTGTAGATTTATTTTTTATTTTATTTATTTCTGAGTGGCCGAGGTGCCCCCCACTAGTTCATGCGGCGTTATCCGTTACTTACCGGATAACCGGTATATATTTTCTTAATTTTTTTATATTTATCCATAAGTTTCTAAAAGTGTTAATTTAAAAAATCTTACAAAGTATTAAAGAAAAATATGTGACAAATTTTAGTAATTATACTGAATGATATTTTAAAATATGTACAGTTATAGTTTACGACATAGCCCGGTTAGACATCTTCCCTAAAAATTGACAAAAATTGTAAATATTTTTTTATTTCTTGGAGATCTATATTGAGGATCGAAATCCAAATATATCACCACCCCTGAGGACTAGTTAAAAGTGTAAAGTAAACATTGAATATGTGTGCGTTGATGGTGTTCAGAGAACGAGATGCTGAAGAACGGGTACGTGAAGCCGGTGCTGGTGACGACGCTGCCCCCGTACATGTCGCCGTCGCCCGCCTACGCGCACGCGCACTCGCCCGACTCGCAGCGCAACACGCCCAGCGTGCAGAGCAGGTGCGACCCCATCACCTCCTCACTCAAATTACCTACACCCCCTACACCCATTTACCCAAACTCACAAACCCCCGCACCCAGCCCCCTACACACCAATCCCACTCCATACCTAAACACGTGTCACCCTTGCACGCCTGTATTATAATGAAGGCTCATAATATTTCACTCACCAGATGTCGCTATTTGAAACCGAGGTGAACTTATTTGTCACACAAATGGTCACATAGTATTATCATTAAAAAAATGTATATTAAATATTCTAGTTTATTTATTATAATATCCACAAACAATGCCTCATTGTTGTGTATGTTTATTTTTTACACTTTTTATTTTTTTTTTAAATTTTTCTACTTTAAGTTTTATCCGTAGTAAGCATGTGTCAATCATGAATGATTCGTTCGTTTGAGCTGGTACACTTAAAAGTATTGATCGTTCATTCATCTGCTTTTGAGTGTTCCCGTACAACCAATCACAAACAATTGACAGAACCTTTTTAATCGTGATTGGTGTGAATAGTGAATGAGTCGAAAACAGACCGAATGCCGAATGATCAGAATGAATTTTTTTAGTGTAGGGTACTGGAGCCCGAAATGATTCATTGCAATGATCGATCCGAATGTATACGGTACACGTGACGTACTAGAATGATTCGGTCACGAGAAATTTATGATTGACACATTATAATCCGTAGTTTGATTATTGACTTCTAATTTACTTAATAAAAAATATGACTTATGATTCAATAAGAAACGTTAACCTTTACATTTTCCTAACAAACTAACTTCCCCCGCTATGAGATCTGTCAAATGTTTCACCTCACTTCAAAATAGCGCCGCCTTGGTGGCAAAAAAATTTGCTGAAGCCCTCACTATAGTTCATACAAATACTTGGCCCGTAGTTCAGTCAAACGCTTAGCAATTCGAATCTTTGCTATCGAGTAGTCTGAAGTTCTGAAGTCCACTGCTGCACCAAGAGCATTCCAATAATGCTGCTGTACTTTTACTAGGTAGGAGTAGGTACCATCTTCTTATCTTTTTCTATCATTAAATAAGACTCCAATTTACATTGCGGCGGAATGGAATGGAACTGAAGCGTAAATTTCACCGAGACGCACGGGAAGGCGCGCGTATTCGCGGGAATGATCCAGAATTCCCGCGACTTCGTCTTCCCCTATACTAACGATCTCCTTGGGACTAGAAAAGTTAGTCTATATTCCACGCCTTTCGCGTCACTTCCCGCGAATACCACAGACCTCGCCGACAGTAGCTACGGGAATCCCCGAGAATTCTTTTTTTGGCTCATATTTAGTTTGCGCGTTACACAATTAACATAAGACTCATTTTGCTATGTACAATTTCGTTACAAAAATTCGCTTCCATTCCGTTCCGCAGCAGTATAAATTGAGCCTAATAGTGATCGTACTGCTGTGTTTCGATCTGAAGGATATAGAGAGCCAGTGTAATTACACGCTGTGAAGCATTCCATCTTAGTCCTCAGAACTAACAACGCACCTGTAACCTTCTCTGCATGAAGCTGGCTGCAGGTGTCCATGGACTGCTGTAACCACTTACCTTCAGGTGGACTGTAACTTCCTTTGTCATTTAAATATCTCACAGCGGGTTATTCCGTTTATCAACCCTAATAAATCCACCCTATGGTTATCGCATGTTCGCTTAACCTCGGTTCTCGATAATCGGAATTAAATTATTTTTCTTCCGATTTTCCCCCTCGGCTGTATACAGTTGTTTATAAAAACATGATAGAACTGGCCCAAGATTACTTAGTAGACATTAGGCATCTTATTATGAAAAAAATGTTTTACTGCTATTAATTTCAATTATATTTTATTGAAGTAGGTATTAAAATTAAATAAATACATTGTTAATTACATAGATACAGTATTGGAAATAGCAAGGTACTTAACAAATTTTAAAATGTCTTTTATTGAGAGACGAATTTGAACAGGATATATAATTATGTCTACTCAATAATTAAATTAGTGTTGGTCATTTCCTGGACATATTGCAGAAATTATAAATTACTTATTATTATTTAAAACAAGGAATTAATTTGGTTTAAATTGCATTTATAATTAAGTAATATTATTTTTGTATAGGTTTGTGTGATCATTAGAAATTAATCAATAATATTCTAAAGTATAAATGTATTTTCTGTTGAACTGTACTTGGGATGAAAAGACGGGACAACAATCAAAAAATAAATTCCGATTATCCACCCCATCAGGGGTGGATAAACGAATATGCGTTTCCGAGTATTCACCCTAGGGTGGAATAACCCCTCACAGCGTGTAATCGTACTGGCTCTCTATACTCTTCAGAGCGGAACACACCAGTGCAAGCACAGCTGTTTGTTAGCATAAATAGCTAACGGAGTGGTAACGCCTATTAATTTAATATACTATGCAGGGTTATTTTGCATTAATATAGGCAAATTTTGAAGAAAAATTCATAAAAGAAAAATCTCAAACAATGTGTCCTTTTTATCTTTTAAATTCAAAACACGTGGTAATGCATTATTTTAACTGATTTTACTGCGCACGCACACATTCGTAAGGGTCGATCGGTAGGCAAAAACATTGTTGCCCATAAATCACATTCAATTTGAGATAATTTAAAAAACTGCAATAACAGTATAAGATTATTTATATATTTGAACTTAAGTTTAAAATTAGGCTACTCTTTGAAAAATAACCCTGTATAGTAATGAGTGTATGTAGCCCGTGTCAATTTGTTTTGCTCTTTTTGTGTATTTTTTTCATATTTTTGTTATTCTATGGTTTATATTATTTTTTATTTTTTTTTCTCAATTATAGGTACATGCTTGACTTTTGAACGAAGCGGGAATATAATGATTATATTTTTTAAATTAAGTTTTATATTTTAAGTTGAATGGTCACATCCTTTATTATTGCTTTTTTATATATATGTTTGTGCCTTATATACATTTAGAATTTAAGTGATAACGTGCTTCCTCGTAGTGATAAAATTTATTAAAACGTTTCACGAAAATCAAAACTGAAATTTGCTGCGATCATTTTAAAGTACATTTTAGCTTAACGACGCCTTCAGTTTCGATTTACGTGGAAGTAAACGCGCGACAAACGATTAAGACTGCGGATCTATATATAGGATGTTTTAATTTGTATTATGCGATGACCAAAAACAAATATAAAAAAAATATTTCTTTTCTAGCTGCGGTACTACAATTTTACAGCTGTAAGGGATTAAAAAAATATATATCGCAGAAAGGAAATGTCAATTTGTCTCGAAGTTAACAATGTAGTTAGATTAATTTTTCTATTGGTGATTGAATGTTAATATTGTAAAAATTTCGTCGGAAATCCCGACTGCAACTCTGAAATACCGTCGACCATGTGGTAAACCAGCACATAAAATTTACAAATTTATTCGTTCTGACAACGAAATTCGTCATCATCATCATTGCAGTCCTTCACAAGTCTCCTGCTGAACATAGGCCTCCCCCAAGGAATGCCACAAAGCACAGTCCTGAGCCGCCCGCATCCATCGACTACCTGCATGTTTTACCCGGCCGTCATTCCATCTAGGAAAGAAAATTAATATCTCATATCTATTTTTTATCATTATGTATTAAGAAATTATATTGAGTTGTTGTCGAGATTTGAGGCTATACTTTGTTGCAAGACTAATTTTTAACTATTATTATTGGCGTTCATGCAATATATACCGCCTTTATAATTTTTATACTTATAGAATTAGTCCTTAAAACGAATCGTTGTAGTTGAATTCATGGCTTTTTAATTCAAAATGGCTACGCGCTAACGTTGTTCGATAATGCTACTTGACAATGTCAAGTCAAAATTTTTTAGTCTTGCATCAAATAACTTCGAATAAAAATCAGTATTAAAAATGTTAGGAAAAAAAATTGGTGTTTTAAATATAATGTCGTTTCGACCACTAAGTTAGGTATAAGCCTTATTATAATAATAGTATCTATGTTTGTTTAGGCCCTTATGATTAAGATTTAACAGGTATCTGTGAGATATTCTCGCGTTGATGCTACTTATGTGTTATTCAACTTAATGATAGGTTGCTATATTAGTAAGCATCGAATTGAAGAGTCAATTTGATGTAGTTACGGAAAGTATCCATCCTCTCGCTCGAGTCATAAACGAGATAATATGTGAACTTTAAAATATAACAACTTGTTTAAAATTAAAAAAAAAATATATATATCTAAAAATTATCCCACAAAAAATAATTCGATAATAGCAACATTACAAACAACATGGAAAAAAATGTTTAAAATACTGTTATATACTAAAAAATATCCCACATACAAATTGAGTCGATAATAGCAAAATCAAAAATCAATTTAAGCACGTCACTACTAAAAATACCGATTCAGATTTCAAACGTCAATTTTTGAAAAGTAATTTTTTTTTTGTTACCGTTACAGCCCAACAAAAGTACTGCTAAACATTGACATCCCCATAGATTGGTCTCATAATCTCTTAATATTTGCCATAGTTGCCATAGTTGCCACTCTTGCCAAGTGGGTTGGCAACCACAGTAATTAATATTTCCGTTTTTATTAGGAAGACGCTGCTGCCCATTACACATTTTTAATTTGTCCTATATAAAAAGATAGTTTCTTCATACCAATCTTCATAGTACTATTATCTAGACAATATGAGCTTTCGCAATAGATAGGGTTATGTCAGCTATAAAAAAATTTTAGTTTATAGTACGCTGTTTTCCAAATTTATTTTTCCTTGCTGCCTCCATATTGCATACATGATTCATTTGATTATACATTTAGCCGTAATACAGGAACTACCAAATTTTATGAGTAATCTATTTGTTACTCGTATGATTTGGTTATTCGAAATTACTCTTACTGGATTATAAAGGATGTTCCATCTTAGTAAGAAAGTATACTATTAAGTACCACGTCCACAAAATTCGTTTAGGGTCTTACTTTAGTAAAATGCATATACT